GAAGGCAGCTTTTCCTCTCCCAGCTGGGCAGCATTCTTTATGTCGTGTTCAATTATTTAAATATGCAATGAAACCTCTGTATAAAGCAGCCACCGACATGCTGGACGTGGTAGATGGAAAGGCATCTTTTTTGCTCTCATATGTTGATACTCCCCCTGCAATTAGCGGTGCTGTCTTTACTTCTGTGTGCATTTCAGTGGAAACCAAAATATGCACAGGGCTAGACGATGGACCTGGAGCCCGCTGGAGCCACTTTCTGAAAGCCAAGACATTTAAAGATCTTCTTGTACCTCAAGCCACCCTTCTCCCCAACCTCAGCCCATTCTCAGGACTGCAGAACATAGCCACGGTCAAAACAGACTCCAAGCGAATCTGGTTCTTATTGTATGCATTTGTCTCCAAATAATCTTGCTAAATGCAGGTGTTTTCTACCCTCCAAGAGCTGGCCCTTTCAAATGATTGTTCAGAGAAATATCTTCCTTGAAAAGAGAAGAGCAGTATGTTTTTAAGGAATTCTGTAAGGGGGCTAGATCATCATCTGGGGACAAAAGTCAGTAAGATGATGGTGAGAGTGTTTTGCTCATGGTCACTGTGGGAACTGAGATAACTGGTGTGCTTAATTTCTTTCTCATGGACATGGTGGTGATTATATGTGTTGTGCTATGAAACAAGATAGCACGTGGCAAAATATGTGTAAGGTGATGGAGGTGGTGGGACATGCACTGCGTTGAAACCTTGTACCCCTTGCACCGTGTTAATTGTGTTAGCTAGAATAACAGTATCACGCACTACCTATGAGAGCCATACCCACCTGTATGACTATGCCAGGTCACAATATACCAGTTATTAAAATACTTCCCTCCTGGTAGGTAAATGGCACTTTCAGGAGACCAGCGTACCCTGCAAAGACCCCCACCTCCTCCAGCATGCAGTGGTCGATATTTTGAATACCACGCTTTGAGCTAGTTTAGCAGGCATTGTTTACCCCCATTTTAAAGATGGGAAAACTGAGCCTCAGAAGGGTTATATGAGGATGTGCCCCAGGTCATCTACTGGGTTAATATTAGAATTGGGACCATAAAATTCGTGGATTCCAAACCAGCCTCTTCATTTTATGGATGAGGAGACTCAGAGGGTTTGGGGACGTGCCCAAGGCCACGTGGCTGGCTGGTGAAGGTCCTGTCTCAGAGCACGCGGAACCTTCCAGAAGAGGGGACTGCCATTAGATGAGCAGTGAACAGAACTGGGAACTCCCTAGCCATTCCTGTTGTGTTGGGGCACTCAGAGCTGTTGAAATTGTTGGGCACTGAAGCTTCGAAGGGGTGGATAGGCTGGACCATGAGAATTGATGGGTGTTTATGGAAAAGCACACAGAGGCGGGGGCAGGGGAGACGGATCCTTGGGAAACGAGGTAGGAAAAGGGAGTAGCTGAGGGACCAGGTGCAGCCTGAGTCAAGGGGGAAGGACGAGGAAAGAACAAACGTTTTTTGAGCACTTGCTCCCTCTGTGCCAGACGCGTTATACATGGTAGTTCATGGACTTCCCCCAAATGACCCTGTAGAGGATGAGTTTTTAATCCCCGTTCGTAGTGAAGCCGAGCAATGTTGAGTCCTTTCAAGACTCAAACTAGCAGGAGGAAGATGGACTTGCACTTATGTATGGGATTCCCAAACCACATTCTTTCTAGTTAAGAAAGCGCAAAGGTGAGGACCACGGCCGAAGTGCTGGGAAACAGGGCCTCAGAGTCATGGAGAAAGGTGGAAGTCACTCTGAAATTTCCTGCGAGCATCAGACTCAGAGGTGGTTTTGTACCTGGGATCTCAGCATGAGGCTGGGCAGGGTCTGGAGAGATGGGGTGAGAGGAGGGGGCAGCACGGTGGCAGTGGTCCCTTTATGCCTTGTTGTCTAGGGAAAAATTGCCATTTTACATTTCAATTAGGAGGGACACCGGGTCCAGTCAGCAGTGCCACCAGAGGAAAATGGGTCCAGCCCAGCCCTGGGCCTCTCCAATTATTATTAATGAACTTAGTCTCAGAGTGGCCAACCTTTTTATATGCAAACTAGGCCATTATGGGGCCACTGGCAATCAGGACTCACTAGAGAACTCATAACAAGCCTCAGTGAGAATCTTACAGGGGGAAAGAGAGAGGCTTAGCTTCCATCCTGGACCAGAATCGGTCCAGCCCCTAGGCGAGGTTCCAGCTCACCACAGGAGGGTTTCGAAGCCCCCTGGCCCCCAGCTCCTCTCTGGGAAATCCTGGCCCACCATCCCATCCTAAGGTGGTCCTACTGCCAGTAGGAACTTGCCTCTTTCCTTAAGAGGAGGAAATATGGCGGGTTGGCGTGGGAGTTCTTCAGCTGCCAGCACATCTGTTGACACTGAACCAATATTTTTCCTCTCCCTGGCTTGGTTTCTCCTTTGCAAAGTAGAAGGGACCCTTGGGTTGGTTCAGAGGACTCTCACATTCAGACACCCTCAGCGTACCTTTCTTGAGCTGCTGTATTTTCCTGTGGGACTTGGGGATGAGAGATCCCAGCTCTTCTGCTCTTACTCGCAATGCAACCCTAGACGCAGCTCGTAGCAGGAGGCAAGGTCAGGCTGTGCATGCTTTAGGAGAGGGACAGCTGCCAGGTCTTCGGCGGGAGGGAAGAGCGGGGTCAGGACTGGCCCGGCCCCTCTGGCTCACAGCTCCCCACTTGTCATCCGTCTTCTCTCCTGAGTCCCCAACACCACACATCTCCCTCTCCAGCCCGAGCTTCATCCTTTTCACAAAATGGCTCTTTTCTTCTACGTGTCCCGAGTTCTCATCTTGCCGGAGCAGGGGGATGAGATGCCAGCAGAGGCAAGGGCACAGGATGGAACTATAAGATTCTCGCTCCACGTGGGACCTCAAGGTCCCTGGAGACCCACACGATCTAGAGCCTCAAGGCCACAGGCAGGGTTCAGGCCGTGTCCTCTGTCCCCTCCCCCTCCTGCTGGCCTGCCTCCCTGCTGCTCTTCTTTGTTTTATTTATCTTAAACTGCGTCGAAATACACATATCATAAAATTTACTATCTTAACCAGTTGTACGTGTACAGTTTAGTGGCAATAAGTATATACATTCACGTTGTGGTACAGCCATAACCACCATCCATCTCCAAAACTCTGTTCATCTTTCCCAACTGAAACTCTGCACCCGTTAAACCCTAACTCCCCCTTCTCTCGTGCTCCAGAAACCACTCTTCTACCTTCTGTCTCTGTGAATGTGACTACCCTGGGTACCTCCTATGAGAGGAGTCCTGTGGTGTTTGTCCTATAGTAACTGGCTCAGCATAATGTTTTCAAGATTCACCCATGACTTAGCGTGTGTTTAAATTCTCTTCCTTTTTAAGGCTGAATCGTATTCCATTGCATGTATGTATCACATTTCGCTTATCCATTCACCTGCGAGGGCACCTCCGTTGCTTCCACCTTTTGGCTGTGTGAGTACTGCTGCCCTGAGCATATGGGCATCAAGTATCTCTTCGAGACCCTGCTTTCAGCTCTTTTGGATGAGCAAACTCAGAAGTGGAATTGCTGGGTCTGCTGCTCCCCCGTCTAGCTGTTCTTCAGGATAAAGGCGTGGATAGCCTGGAGGAGAGGAGGGCATTCATTTAATGGGCCTGGGGTGTTTCCCTAAAGCAAGGCTACAGGGTAATGGTGAAGAACAGAGGTGAGACCACCCAAATCATGGACTCAGGACTGGTTAGAGCTGAATGGGGCCTTGGATGCCACCCAATTGACAGATGAGGTAGCTGAGTCTCAAAGTGGGGATTGATGCGTGATGAGCTCAGGGTTCCACAGCTCGTCAGAAGCTCAGCAGCCCTAGAGCTCTTCTCCCTCCAGCTTTCAGTGACCGGGGGGCTCATGTTTGTTTTCAGACCCCGGGGGGGGACAGCCGCCGGGTGCCTGATTGCCTGGGGCCCCTCCCATCTGCCCTTCCCCTGGCCTCCTTTCTGCCTTACTTTGCTGGGGAAGAGGGCTGAGGTCAGGGGGGCCCCTGAGAGTCAGCAGTGAGCCCACAGGGCAGCGTCCTCATAAAGGATGTGTGAGCCATGCTTTTGTCCGTCGACCTGCCCAGAAGCTGTCTGTCTGGTGGGCATGCCCCAAACAGTGCCACAGGGGGAGGAATCTGGGGCTGGTGGGACCTGCCTTGCCCGGGGCCTCACTCCTGTCCACGCAGCTCCTGTGAATCCAGCCACACACCAGCTCCCACCTCCCAGCAGGGCAGAGCACCGTGCTCCTTATTTGACCCCATTCTCCCCCCAGCCCTCCCTGGACAGAGCTGATTGCCCCAGCGAAAAGGGGCCCAGTGATTCATTTCCTCCATGCCCGAATGTGTTCAGGGGTCCCCCTTGGCTCGGGGACGAGCAGCTGGAGGGGACTCAGAGTGTACCTGCTCTGAGGGGCATGTTCTTGGGGGCCGGCCATCCCCGGATCTCAGTCAGAAGCTTCTGGATTTCACAGGTCTCTGGGGCTCATTTCAGAACATTCCCAAATGCCTTATGGAAGGTCCTTCCACCCCTTCCAGACTCACATTCCAGAGCCTCGGACCAGGGCTTTGTGTCACTGTGTAGCTGCTCGCTTGGGCACCTCTGTCCCGGGTCTTGGCAGCCTGGAACTGAGGCAAAGCGGTCTTCAGCCCAAAGAGGGACAGGACGCCCAGCCAGCAGGGTCAGTCTGCTAGGGGAGGAGGGTGCTGAGATGGGAGGGACCGCTGGGAGTCTGGACCGGAGGGTCTGGAGCGCATTGAAAAAGAAGCTGACGAGGGCAGGGGACGAGCTCTGTGAGGAGGGGCCTCAAGGTGGTGATGCCGGGACCCGGGTGGCTCAGTCTCCCTGCCTCCTCCACGGTGGTCGGGGGTGGGCAGCAGCGCTGAGGGCCGTGCGTGGGGAGTCCTGGAGAGGGTGGAGTCTGAGAACATCTGGGTGATACCAGGGGCTCCCGCAGCCCGACCTGAGCCTCACTGTCTGTCCCCAGGACTGCCCGCAGCTGCTGCGAGTGGACAAGATCCTGGTGCCCGTAGAGGTGGTCAAGCCCATCACCCTCAAGGCCAAGAACCTCCCCCAGCCGCAGTCGGGGCAGCGCGGGTACGAGTGCGTCCTCAGCATCCAGGGCAGCGAGCAGAGGGTGCCCGCCCTGCGCTTCAACAGCTCCAGCGTGCAGTGCCAGAACACCTCCGTGAGTGCCCGCCCCGTGTGCCCACCCGCCGGGGCGCTCTCCTAGGGTCACATCAGCTCCGCTCGGCAGGACTTCCCCGAACACCCACAGAACCGCTCAGCTCCCCCCAACAACTGCTTCCTCTAACCCTGCTAGCCCGGCCCAGTCCACCAAGTGTCTGCCTGTAGGTGTGGCCCTGTCGTGGTGACCCAACAGGGGCTGCGGTGCAAGGGGCTTTGGGGCCCGCCTTGGGGCTGCTGAGCGCTCTTTGTGGGCAGATGTATTTACAGGGCGTGCCCATCCTCCTTCCTGAGAGCAGCTCTGGAAACCCTGGGTCCTGACTTCCTACCAGGGCTGACCTGGGGGCCTCATCTGAGCCCACAAAGGCACACCTCGGCCTGTAGAGCCACACAGAGGCTGTTTCCCAGCACACGAGGCTTCTGAGACAGACCGGCACCTGCAAAAGGAGCCTTGGAACAGGAAGGAGCCCCCCGGGGCTGTGCTGTGTAGATCCGCACAAACCCTGCCCAGTATTTAGAAATCCAGGTTGGGTCCATGCTGGACCAACAATGGGTCAGCAGCCCCCTGCGGCCAACAGCCTTCGCCTGATCCCTGCACACCTGCCTGTCAGCTCCCCCGCCGGCCCCGTGGCCTTCCCAGCCCCGCCTCTGCTCTCCCTCATTCTCTCTTTCTGGGCTATTTCTGTGCACCCAGATGCTCAGAGATTAACAGACTTAAAGACTCGTAACATTTTCAAGCGATGTGAAACCCACATTCTTCTTCACTGTGCAGAGGAGAAACTGGAGGCCCAGAGTAGGGGCAGGATTGGATTTGTGGGGCTGAGAGTTATATACTTTGGGGGACCTTCTTTAAGAATGAAATACATCAATACAAATGAGATATGCAGGCAGGCCTTAGGAAGGGCCATGTGGGTGAGTGCAGGGCCCTGAAGCTGGCCCTGAGTCTCCATTGACTTCCAGGTTAACCCGCCCTTGCCCCAAGGGTAAGTGACACGCCCAAGGTCACACAGTTCGTGAGTGACAGGGTCTCACGACCTGTGAGAAATCAACCCCGCCGCACCACCCTTGATTTTTGGTGGCAGAGGAGGTCTCAGAGGAGAGCAGAGAAGGAAAAGAGAGACACAGGAGCATTCTGCATGGAGTGACACAGGGTTGGGTGGACAGGCAGGTCACTTCCAGCCCACTATTTGGGGACAGGCCCTGGGCCAATCACTGTAGCCCTCGGGGGCCTGTTGGCAGAGAACAGGGCAGCTCACAGGCAGCAGTTGGAGGAGGGTTAGAAGCAGCTGTGGGTATTCGTGGCCTCCTTTATACAGAGGCTCCAGGAGATGTCAAGTGCTGCTAATAATAGTGCCCAGTCCCGCCCCTCAGCCACTGGCAATCATGGGAGTCAGTGGGCCGCAGGGGACAGCTGGCCGGCTACAGTGCCAGCCATGAGGCCCTAGGGCTCTAGGCCCATCTTCCACCGACCCGCAGTGGCCCCATGGTTTCTCGTCGTGCCCCAATTTACTGCGTGCAAAACAAGGACAGGGAGACCGATAGGGGGTAAATTTTCCCCCTTCCCGCTTTACTGGAACACAGCTGGGAATGGGTCTGCTGAGCCTCTGGGGTCCTGGAGATGGACACAGCATACACTGGTGTCTTACGTTGGTGATAGAATGATAGAACTTTGCAGCAAAAAATCTCAGACAAGGGAATGGTTGGAGGGAAGCATGTCCAAATTATACAGAGGTCTTCTCTTTGCTCTAGAAAGTAGGGAAACTGGGGTTCACTCTTTCCCCAGGTGATGAGCAACATCGTCCAAGAGCTGGGCCACGATGAGCCAGACCTTGACTGAGACACTTAACCTCCTGGCCCATAGGAGCCTGAAACACTCTTCCCCCAGCTCTGGGCTTTGTGCGGATCAACTGCCCACTGATCATAGAGGGCTATATAAATGCTAAGTGGAGCAGAGGTGGGGAATGGTGGGGGATGCAAGCCAGTGGTCCAGGGTCCCCAGCAGTCCGCCCCTCCCCCTGCAGGATGCAGGTCAAGGGGGAGAGAGGGCATCTCCAGGAAGGAGCGTGACCTCCCTAGAGGGGGGAGGTCAAGGGGTTGGTGGGCAACACCGGGGTTAATGATTTCTGTAATATTTTAGAATTGAGATCTCAGGAATGAGGAGGAGAAAGAGGAAGCAATGCCCAGGATATTTGATCCTTAAAACCTTTTTTATTTTTCCTTCAGAAAGAAAATGGGTGCACACACACACACATCTGAGCACATAAGTGTCCTCATATGCGTCCATCTCCGTGTGTACCAAGTGTCTGGCGCAGAAACACTCGAAAGTGCTGCTATTATTATTCCACATAAACATAAACACGGGGAACACAGGTATATTTTTGCACAGCACCCCCAAGTGTACACACATAGATTCAGATACACGATAACATTTGGGTGCTCATTCTCTGCAGCAGGCACTGTGCCCAGAGCATCGGATGGTTATCTCGAACCCTCCCAACAATCCCGTGAGGTACGCACTGCGTGTAATTCCCACTTTACACGTGGGGAGTCTGAGATTCGGATCCTCTGCCCACATTCACACAGCCGGTCACTGCGGAGCCCCTACATGGCAGTACACGTGTGTGCCCGTGTGTGCTCACATGCACACGCACATCTGAATGCATAGATCCTACGGATGTGCACAGACCTCTTCTCACTTCAGCATGCGTGGGAAGACGTTCATGTACGCATGCAAAGACGTTCATGCACGCAGACACTCCCATGCATACGTGGGCAGTATGTCTTGCCTTGATCTCGGGGGGATCTCAGGTCCTTCCTGAGAGGGGCCTGAAGGTTCTCTTGATCTTCGACCAACACGCCCCTGGTTGCTGCCTGCTGCTTCCACTTTGGGTCCTGGACAGACCCAGGCCTGAAAGGCAGGAGCCTGGCTTCGATGCCGATTTAGGCACCACCAGCATCCCTCCTAGAGGTCGGAGCAGCCTGACACAGGCCCCTGCCACCTTTCTCCCACTGGGGCCTTGGAGGAAGGGGACGGGAAGGATGGGGGCAGTGGAGCTTGGCTAGAGGAGGAAATGGGAAGGGGTGCCTGGAAAGGGTTCTCCCCCCACCCCCCCCTACACACTTCCCCCTTGGCTGTCCTCTGTCTCCCTGCTGCTAGCAGATGGCAAGGAGCAGCGATTCTCTAACTTTCACAGCACCAGACTCAGAGTACCTAACTGGAAATGCTCCTGTCTCCAGAGATTCTAGTTCGGCAGGTCTGGGTGGGACCTTGGAATCTGCATTTAGTAGACCTCATCCCCAGCCCCACCCCCATGACTCTGATGAAGGTGGCCCATAGACCACCATGAGAGGGGAAGAGGGTTTTTTTTGAGAAAAGTCACGACGACTTGGAACGACTCACCCAGACGCGAAAAACTTAAATCTCTGGGGAGTTGGCTAGTGGGCTTCGTGGCAAAAAGCTTATGAGTCCCCAGCTGAGTTATGGAATGATCAAAAAATATTCTCCAGTGTTGTTTCTGCAGGGGTAGGGAGCTTTGCTTTATTCTATGGCTCAGCCCAAACCCTGGCCTTGGCCCAGATGTCATCAGTCTCGAGGGAGATTATACGAGAGTGTGGGTGGTACAAGGCAAACCACCGCCATTGTGGGACAGGCACCACATGTGGCTCCCTGGCCTGGGCGTCATCACCAGGGAGTTAGTGAAAACTTCTGGTGTGCTAGGTTAGAGCCCGAAGAAGGCTGGACACACACCCTACTTATGTTTCTGTAGGAGGACAGTGTCACAGCATGCTCATCATGGAGCACGGTCTGTCATTCAGGAATATAGGGCAGTTTCCCAGGTTAAGACGATAACATCTCCTTTAGAAGCCCTACGGATAAGCTACAGAGGCAGAGGCCCTGAGACCCTCCACAGATGGTGCATTCCCGAGTTTCTGTGCTGCCCTCCCCTCAGTGAAGGAGGGGGCATCAGTGGCCTGACACAACAGCCACAAGCATCCCCACGGCCCAGCCCCACCAAACTTAAACTCTGCGTTAAAAGAGCCCACTGGCTCTGCAAACACAACTTCAGACCAAGTCTCCTGGACTGAACTCTTCCAACAAATCGCCCATCCTCAGCCCCTCCTCTGCAGAAAACCTGTCTCAGCTCTGATCCTCCATCCCACCCCCTGTGGTGGGCAGAATCTAGTGGAATAATGAGAAAATCATCAGGTAGGGATTGGAAAAGCTGCCCAGGGCAGGTTCCAAGCTCCTGCTGCCTGCCCTCCTTCCCCGGGGATAGAGAATGCCTGCTGTCAGAAGGCGGATGGGGGCGGGCATACTGGGGGCTGCCTGAGAGGTACCTCCCACATCCCCCCCTCCCCGCCTTAGCACCGCAGCCCCGTGGGATGGACCCAGCTGGGTGGAACATTAGAGGAGAGCCCGGCAGGGAAGCGGGGCCCAGAGGCCTAGAGGCAGCTCCCTGCCGCCCCACCATGGGCAGCTGTGGAGCTGGGGCCCCTGCTCTGTCTTGGAGCCTTTGGAGGCTTGACCCAGATTCCCAGGTTTATGCCCTAGGGTGACCTCAGGATTTCCCACCTCACCTCTGAGCTCTCACCCAGTCCTCTTCTCTGCTAACCCTCAGCCACTCATCCCCTGAAGAGTGCCGCTCCTTCATTGCTTCCCCTCTGCAACCACTCTCCCTGCCTGCAGATCAGGCTTGGCCAGGTCTCTGGTAAAGCACCCACCTCCCCTGAACATGTCCTAGAAATTAAAGCTCCCAAATCCCATTGAGGACTGGCAAGTTCCCCTGGGCAGCCAGGGCGGGAGCAGGCCCCTCTCTCACTAACTTCCCGGGGAGAGCTCAGCTGGCAGGAACAGGCCTCCGCAGAAGGTGGCCAAGCCACTTGCTCAAATCTGCTCTGTGAACCCACGTTCCAAATGGGTGTCCCCCCAGGCCTGGCATCTCCCCGCCTTAGCTTCTTGACCCCCTGGTCTGGTCCCCTGAGATGCACGTCCCCACCCTGCCCACCCATGCTTATGTGTGCTTACACACACATGCACGCACAGTCTTGGCCTGCCTTTGACTCCGTGCACTCTTGCAGACACCAGGCCGAACATTGGCCCCCCCCGCCCTAGAAATCTCTGTGACCCAGCTTTCTCCTTTCCTTCCGGTCCTGGCTGCAGTATTCCTACGAAGGGATGGAGATCAACAACCTGCCGGTGAAGCTGACAGTCGTGTGGAACGGGCACTTCAACATTGATAACCCAGCTCAGAACAAAGGTGCGGAAGGAGGGCCCGGGCAGGCCGGGGAGGGGGGAGCAACTCCCATCGGTGGGCAGTGCCATTCCGTCCCCCACCCAAGCCAAGCCCGCTCTCCACGCCTCCCCAGCGCCCTCACTGCTCTGTGACTGCTCGGCACAGGAGGCGCAGGGGGACGGCTGCTGGGAGTACAGTGGAGGGAGCAGCGCGGGCTGGAGGGAGGGCCCCAGGGACTGAGGGAGGCTCCACCGCCCAGCCACCATCCTCTGCTCAGGCTTTCCCTGCATCCGGAGGGCGTAGGGGACAAGGCTGCCTCATGTCCCATCATCTAGGCCAGCACTGCCCTCCTGGTCCGCACTCCCGGGCCCCTCCCAGCCCCCTGCCCCCACCTCCAAGCACCCCTTGCCCTTTGCCCACAGTTCACCTCTACAAGTGCGGTGCCATGCGTGAGAGCTGCGGGCTGTGCCTCAAGGCGGACCCGGACTTCGAATGCGGCTGGTGCCAGGGCCAGGGCCAGTGTACCCTCCGGCAGCACTGCCCCATCCACGAGAGCCACTGGCTGGAGCTGTCGGGCACCAACAGCAAGTGCACGAATCCCCGCATCACAGAGGTAAGCCGTGGTCCGCTGGGCCCGCTCTGGGCCGCTGAGCCCTGTCCTGCCACGGGCGGGGCCCTGGGAGCCATGGCTGGCATGGAATCGGTCACCCCCGTGTCCACCAGGTGCCCAGCTGGCTGCGGGCATCCTCATTTCCCTGCAAATCCGTAGCAGCTTTAGGCTTGGCTCAGAGGCCCTCCCCTTATCAAGGGAGGTCGAGAGCAGAGAGGGTTCGACTGTCCTATGGAGTCTCCGTGTGAGCCGCGTCCGAGAGGACTCGCGGTCCTCGACACCCCTTTCTTGTCTCCAAGAGTCCTGGTGGCAAGGCCATGAAGCTCCATCGGCTGCGGCCTCATTAAGCAGTCAGCCTGTGGGTGGAAGCTGCCTGGGGTCAAGGGCGGGGAGCCCAGCCCCGGAGAGGTGGAGCAGGTCAAAGCGGAGAGGCCTCGGGACTCACACAAAGCAGACCAAAGCTGTGAAGTGGCAGGAACGGACCAGGAGCACAGTTCAGGGGGACAGAGGGACGCGGGCCGTGGAACGCGGAGCTGTGAGGGGCGGGGCAGACGGGGGATCACAGAGAACAGCGTTTGAATCCCAGCTCCATTTGCTAATCCCAAGTAATTGTTGGGTCCCCTGCGACTACTTCATCTCCATCTCCAGGCCTCAGCTTGCTCACCCGTGCCCTGGGTCGAAGCGTCCACCTCACAGGGGAGTGACAGGGATTACATGAGCGATCCCATGCAAGATGCCTGGCTGCATGCCCAGCCCGTGGGGATCTCATCACCCTCCGCCTCCTTGTTGATTACTGACACTGTTAAAATCATTTTTAAATCCCGTGTCTAAGCCCATCACTGCCCTGGTGTCTTCACCTCCACACTCCCGGCACGAAGACCCTCTAAGGTCCCCCGCACCCGGGCTGGAATCCCTTGCTCCGCTCATAAAATAAGGGAAAGACGTGCATGTCTCAGCTACAGGACGGCGTCTGACACGTCTGCACCTGGGGCCCAGCACTTCGCTCGTCGTACATGCTCGGTGCCTCTTTGCCATGGTTGATGCTGATGATAATAATGCCACGGGGGGACAGAGGGAAGATGAGACGGAAGCTCAGTCTGTCCGTCCGTAGTGAGGGGACGCTGGGCATCCAGCTCTGTGCACTTTCACAAACACCCGTATCTGGTACCCTTACAACGGCGGGCACAATCACAGGCCGAACATTTGTGTGGTGCTTCAGAGTTTGTGAAATAGCCTCATATCCCTCACTTCATCCGGCCTCACAACAACCCTGCCGTGTGGTTTCCTAGGGCTGCTGCAATGAAGTGCCGTAAACGACAGAAATGTATTGTCTCTCGGTTCTGGAGGCTGGAAGTTGAGATCAAGGTGTCGCAGGGTTGGTTCCTTCTAATGGCTGTGAGGCAAGGGTCCGTTCCAGGCCTCTCTCCTTGGCTTGTAGGTGGCTGTCTTCTTCCTGTGCCTCTTCATATTGACTTCCTGCCATGTGTGTCTCTGCAAATTTCCTCTTTTTATGAGGACATCAGTCCTATTGGATTAGGACCCACCTGAATGACCCCATTTTGACTTGACTACCTCTATAAAGACCCTTTCTCCAAAGAAGGTCACAATTCTGAGGTGCTGGGGTTTAGGACTTCAACATATGGAGTTCAACCCATGATGCCTGCCAAGGCCAAGGTTATTATCACCCTTTCCCATATGAAAAGACCGATGCTCAGATTTACTCTGACCAAAGTGTAAATCAAGGGCCCCTGAAGGCCGAGCCTCTTGATTACTGGATTGCTGTCCTCTGCCACCACAAAGGCAAACACTCCCATACATTCCCTCGACCCTCCCTCACAAATGCTGCATGCGCACCGGGGATGTGTAAAAACAGGAAGGAGCTTGACTCGTGAGTAAGCAGCTTCCTCCAGCAAAGCAGCCTCTCGGGCGTGGCCCTCTAGATGTGCCCCCCGCTTCAGCACCTTCACCCTCCACGTTCCTGGTTTTCCAGGTGCCGAGAGCTTCATTCAGCCCCGACTTCAGTCTCCTGCATGGGTAGGAATCTCAACAGTGATTCTCAGACTGGGGAAAGATACTTATGTATTTTACCTACAGAATTATCTAGAGAAGGAGAGCAGGCGGATGCCTCTGGCGCCACATCTGAACGAGGGCCCCCCTCCTTTCCTGCCAGCCCCCACCCTCAGAGCCCCGTAGCAAGAAGCCATCCCCCAGGGGGCTGCCTCTCAGGACTGCTAATGGTGTGTCTGGTGAAAATGGTGGGACTGGCTTTCTTCTTGGCCTGAGACCAAAAACATCACAGGGAGGAGATGGCAAATTAAACAAACCTCCCTGCGACGGACGCTATTTACTGGCTCCGTACTGGCAGCAGCCCTCCAGGGATCCTGGGGAACCATGGACTGGGCCAGAGATAAAACTTCCTTTTCAGGACGACAAGCCAGGGCTGAAATATCATGCAGATGTTGCTGCTAGGTGCCAGTGGCGCTTTGGGGACTAGTTGGGCAGGCATCTGGGAAGGACAGGGACTCCCGCTGCCCACCCCCCTCTATCTGTCTATCTCCCTCACACAGAAACAAGCCTGTGTCTCCAAAGAACCTATTTTTTTTTCCACAGCAGTGGGAACGTGCATGTGCAAACCCACACACTCATGAACCCTCACACTCACAGATGTGCACACCTGCATATGTGAGAATCAGGAAGTATCTTGAGCTTTGTAGGTGAATAGCCTACAAGGCTCGGCAAAGCTGTCACTCCCTTCCCCACCTTCCACCCTCCCCCCAGGATGGAACGGCCCACTTGTGACCCTGGGGGGATGGAGAGAGTAGGAAATATTAAGAGGTAGCCTACCTGGGCTTCTCCTATTGTGATCCCATTGACGTTGGCCGAGATCCAGGTGTTGATGTTCAGAGACACCAGGAACAGGAAATGGGCCCTTCTCTGGTCTGTCAAATGCCAGGAGAGGCTGGCATGGAATGTCTTCTGCCACTAAGGTCACTGCTGTGGGAGGTAATAATTAGATCACGTGAACTTTGAGCCGCCACCTCAAAGCAGGCCCTGGGTGGTTGAATCCTAACATTCCAGTCATGGGTTTTTAGCATCAACAGTGATGTCTTCGGAGGGAAAGCCAGTCATTTTGGGCAAGTGTATGAGGGTAAAGTCTAAATTAAACCCAAACAAACCAAGCCAAACAATGAAGGCAGAGGGGCAGTGACGAAGGCTTTTCTAACTCCAGGAAGATGCTTGGATCGTTGGGGTTTTCAGTACAATTACAACTCAAGAAATAAAATATGGTGCCATCACTGGAAAGTTCACACAGAGAAAGGAGGCACCACCATCCCTGCTCTCAGGGACTCAGGATCTGAAGAGGTGGGGTTAGGGGGGCGGCAGGGTGGGGAATCCGACACAAACGTTACTGTGAAAAGAGCACAAAGAAAGTGTCCTGAAATCTCAGTGGAGAGAAACCGAGAGAACATCTGGTGATGGGGAAGTGACTTTTGACGAGGCTCTTGAAAGATGGGTGGATGCCATCGTGTGGAGGGCTGTGTGGGCCGATAGGAGGCTTGTTCATTTTCTCTGAGAGTGGAGCCAACACGAGCATACGCTGGCAGGCTTTAATCCCGATTCTCTGTGAATTACCCAGTAGCACTGCAGATCACGTTCTCTCTCTTCTTCTGTGAAATGCGAAGAGGAACAAGGGGCTTTGAACCCTGCTCCTAAAACCATACACAGGCACAGACTATTCTACCAGAAGCTCCTGCCCGTTGACAGTCCCAGACCTGGGTGCCCTCGTGGACTTGGACTCAACTCAGGGAATGGGATGGAGATAGGAAAGAGGCAGCAGCCCCTCCCTTGCCCCATCAGCAGTGGGGGATCACGCTGTCTTGGTGTCTGATTACTGTGCTTCCTCCTTCTAGATAATCCCAGTGACAGGCCCCCGGGAAGGGGGCACCAAGGTCACCATCCGAGGGGAGAACCTGGGCCTGGAATTCCGGGACATCGCCTCCCATGTCAAGGTGGCCGGCGTGGAGTGCAGCCCTTTGGTAGATGGCTACATCCCTGCGGAACAGTAAGTGGAGGCCGTCCGAGACATGGGAGGAGCAAGGAAGAGAAGTCCATATAAATAGACGGTTGATGTTGACTTACCTTCCCCGATCAACAGTAGATGGTCTTAGAACTTATGGACAGAAAAGGAGAATGTCCCTCACATTCTAGGGTGTGGGGGACTCCTACAACTCCCCAGCCCCCGAACTAGCTAGCTGCCATATTGGGGGAAGTCCAGAAAGGGGAAGGGGAGATGGCTGGGAGAAAAGGGGAAAGTGATCATTACCTCCTTGAGGTGTGAGGTTGAGTAGGAACAAGACAAAGCAAAATCAAAATCCGCAGAAGTGTGAGTTCAGCTCCTTGCCCTAGCTGCCTCCGCTGTCCCTAACTCCCCGCTCCTGTCCTCTCCCGGTTACAGAAGAAGCTAATCCCATGTTCCCCTCTGTGGAGGCTGAGAATGAACCTTCGCACCCACTCTCAGGCCTGTGGGGACTTGGGTTGTTTTTCTCCAGCAAAGTCTGCTGGTCCACGGAGAGGGCCATTCAACGAGTGACCTTGACCTCTAACCTATGTGGCAGGGAAGGTTTGTGAGTCATGTATTGCCTTGTAAATAAGTAAATACAATTTTCCAGCCCAGCAAACACAAGCATGGAATAAATATGCACCAGCGCAATAGAATCTATATTCTACACCCTCTTTGCTGCCCCTCCCAGAGTGAAACCTTGCCACTTGTCCCCATGTGCATAGGTAGGTGAGTGCGTTTATGCTTGTGCTGGTTGAGTCTTACCCAGATTTTGTGATTCTGGAACCATCAGTCCTGCCGTCCTCAATTCCTCCTTGATTTCCGTCCGGTTCTTCCCAGAACACTCATAGTAGATAAGATGATTGAAGGCTCCAGGCTTGGTAGGACCCATGCTGGTCCATCATCACTTACTTACCCAAAGACCTTTCTGTGGCTCCTTCAAGTTTTTGTCCTTCCTAGAATAAAACCAAAGCAGGCTGCTACGGATATATTGTGATTTGGGGAACTTTAAAACGCCCTACTCTGGACTTGTTTAGCCAGATATAAAAAATATCATAAAGCCACATGATTAAGTATCGTGATACTTAATAAGATAGAACACCAGAAAAAGAATCTTGATACATAAAAATTTAGTATGTGATAAAGATGACATTTCAAATCAGCAAGGAAAGCAAAGCTCATTCAGTAAGTGGTACAGTTTCACCCCCTGGTAAAAGTACCATATCAGATTCTTATTTCCCATTATACACCAAGGTAAATTCCAGGTGGATTAAAGAGTTAAGGGTAAAAAATGAAAATGTGAAAGGGTTAGAAGAAAATGCAGGTGAGAATTTATTTGATTTCAAGAAAGGGAAGGTGTTCCAGGTATAACTGCAAAAGAAAAAATTATAAAGGAAAAGATTAGATTTGAGTATGTAAGACAAAACTTGTGCACCGAAAACCCTGTGTGCGAAGTAAAAATATGAATGATAAACTGAGAGTATTGTTATGGCCTGTTACAGTATGCTTTTTCTTAACATTTAAAGAGGTTAGATAAAAGATACAGGCAGAAGGCAGCTATCACAAAATTAGCAAAGAGCATGAATGTGCAATTCACAGGACAGACAAAGAACTAAAGTCATATTAAAAAATGTTTAACATCAGTAGTAACCAATAAAATGGGGAACAATTTTTCAAAGTTAATGCCCACCCAGTGCAGATGAGTGGCATAAGAAATAGCTCATCCATACATTCATGTCGGGAGGGTAAATTGGGACGACCTTCCTGGAAGGCAGTTTGGAAATGCAGGTCAAACATCTTTAGCCTGGGCATAATTCTTTTAGAACTTTCCCTAAATAAACAGAATGCACAAATATTTATTTGCAAGAATGCTTATTTTGGCCTTATTTGTAACAGTGAAAATGTGGAAGCAATTTGTATATCTAAAACTAGGGAATTAATTAATTTAATAAATTATTGTCTATACATAGGACAGTAAACTACACAACCATTAAATGTGATATGTAGAAGAATCATGACCAGGCATATACTCAAGGTATATTAAGTGAGAATACAGCTTACCAAGCAGAATACAGAGTTTATAATTAATTTTGTAAAAGGAAAGCAAGACTGGAAACATGTACACCAATATGTTGACAATGGACACTTCTGGGTGATGCAGTTGGGGTGGGAGTGGAATGTAGGTATGGCAAGTGCTTTTATGTACTTTTAAAAAAACTGAACATGTATTAATTATGTTATCTGAACAGAAAAGCATAGATTTTTGCTAGACTCTCACCCAGAACCCGGAAGCCATAAAGTAAAAAATGAGCAATTGAACCACACAAATAGTTTTAAACTTTCAAGTGGCAAAAGACTTTATAAACCAAGTTGAAAAACAAGTGATCAACTGAGAGAAAATAATTTCAATATTTATTATGGAGAAAAGTTAATTCTCCTAATTCAGAAGCTCCTACAAAAAGATAATCCATCAGCGAAATAAAGAGAGGGCATCAGACAAGTCACAGGGAAGGCTATATAAGATTTAAGCACACACACACACATACAATACATGCAACCTCACCAGTAATCAGGGGAATAAAAATGAAATTGAGATCTTTTTTTCCCTATTATATTAGAAAAAATTTTAAAGGACTGATAATATCTAGTGTTGGACAAACAGTGAAGTAATCTCACTCACTTGCTGTTGATGGAAGTAAAAGTTGGGACAGTCCTTCCAGACCATTATTTCCCTCTACTATCAAACATTAAAAGCACAAGGGCTTCCCTGGTGGCGCAGTGGTTGAGCGTCCCCCTGCCGGTGCAGGGGACACGGGTTCGTGCCCCGGTCCGGGAAGATCCCACATGCCGCGGAGCGGCAGGGCCCGTGAGCCATGGCCGCTGAGCCTGCGCGTCTGGAGCCTGTGCCCCGCAAACGGGAGAGGCCACAACAGTGAGAGGCCCGAAAAAAAAAAAAAAAAAAAAAAAAACACAAATAATCCTTCTCAGAAATCTATTTTAATAAATATGCAATGCTTAAGGAGGTGTGTAGGTTGGTTCATTTTGCGGGGTTATTTGGAGTAGGAGAAAAATCAGGGTAAGTTAAATGTATAACAGTAGGAGGCTGGTTAAATAAATGATGACACAGGCCTCTTATGAAATACCATGAAGCTGTTAAAAGAAGAAAGCGGAGCCGTGTGTACTGTGACATGAGGGAAAGTCCGTGCTGTTTTGTTGAGTGAAAAGGCAGGGGTTAAAAATAATGGGTGGTTAAGTTCCACTTTATTTTTAAGATCATGTATATGTTTCTTTACATATGCACGTTTGTATATGATTGTACATGTGTATATATACACATTTATGTTTATATGCGTGCATAATATCAGACATAAATATATATACACACGTGTGGATATATGGGCAAATCTATATATTTGGGCAAGTTGCCAAACTTTTCCGTGCCTCAGTTCTTCATTTATAAAATGGAGATTATATATATTATATATTTGCATAGGTCTAGAGAAAGGTCTGCAAGGATTTATACACCAAGGTTTTGAGAGATTAGTGACGAAAGGCACACTTTATTTTACTGTCACATTTTGATACTGTCTCGCTTTCAAAGGGTATGAACCAATTTTGTAAGTGAAACAATAAAAATTTTTTTAAAGGGGAGAATTTATGACTCTCCCCCACCCTTTCCCCTCCCCCCGGCATGAAAAGCCCCTCCCCTGCCAGGCCCCTGGCTGGGGCTGGGAGCAGAAAGCACTGCCTGGGGCAGTCCATGCCTTGGGAGCAAAGAGCTCCTAGGCGAGGACCTGCAAACCTTAGGTCCCTGCTCCGAGGTCCCTGTCTGATGGCTGTGTGCCCTTGGGTAAGTCACAGTTTACTGAGAGCCTCTAAGGAGACCTCTGTAGGTCACACTTCCTCATTTCCTGAGAACCAGGGAGGAGCCCCCGAAGGGAGGAATCAGGTATCTTTCACCTCCTCCTTCCCTGCCCACCCCTGAGATCTTACTACAGAGAAGGAGGTCTGGGTAGGTGTAGGGCCCAGGGGTCACGGCAGGGAGACCTGTGACCCTCCTGTGACCCATGGGGGTCTGTCCTCTCCACCCTGCAGGATCGTGTGTGAGATGGGGGAGGCCAAGCCCAGCCAGCACGCCGGCTTCGTGGAGATCTGTGTGGCTGTGTGTCGGCCCGAGTTCATGGCCAGGTCGTCGCAGCTCTATTACTTCATGGTGAGTCCCGGCCACCAACGGCCTGGCAAGGCACAGGCCACAGACCTCTTTACCATGATTGCTGAGCCCTTCTAGACCTCTGTGGGCAAACCCAGGCCAAAGTCGTGGGAGTCCCGTCCTGCAGCGCTTGAGAGCACAGCCTTGGAAGTCGGGAAGACCTGGATTCACATCCTGGCTAGGCTGGGCTGGGCTGGGCTGCAGCTCCAGGGAAGTTGCTTTGGCTCTCAGGCCCCAATGTCCCCTTCTGGCCGAGTGTCAGCGTGACACGGTGGGTGAGAGTGTGGGCTGTGCATGGGGACTCCTGGGATTTGAGCCCTGGCTCTGCCTCTTATTAACTGGGTGGACTTGGGCTAGTTGTTTAATTTTCTGTGCTTCAGTGTCTCCATTTGTAAAATGGGGATGATAATACTAAGCATCTATCCCACGGTATTACTATGAAAATTAGATAAAATAGATTTATCACCTCTAGTGTCACTGCCTTTACGATTTCTGTGACTGCCACCATGACTGCTGTGCCCTGCCCTTTGCCTGTGTGCTGGCACCCCACCACTTCCATCCCATTATCCCCAGTCATCCCACCTTCCTCACTCACCATCGTCCTATGCCTATCTTACTCCCTCTCGCCCCAACACCCTTCCCCACATTTCCCTCCCCACCCCAAGGCCTCTCTGCAGATCTCACCCCTGCCCTCACATTCCCTCCAGCCTGGACCCTCCCTGGCCCCTGAAAAGGGTACCGGACCAGCCCTGGTGAGGGGTTCTGTGAGCAGGGGGACTTGGGAACCTCCCTGCCTTGTGACGACAGGGATGCTGGAGACATGAGCACATCCCCTGCTACATACATCACATCATTGCCAAAACTGTTTTACCATCCAGTTAACTTCTCGGGTTAATGCCAGATGTGATGAGATCATTTCCTCATGATTCTGAGCTGCTTTTGGAAGCTGGAAACCTGAAATGATGGATTTTATGACTGGGGGTCAAATGCCCGGAAATATGTCATAGAAGCCCATTTTTCTCCTTCCTTCCTTCCTTCCTCCCTCTTCTTTCATCTGCCTTCCTTCTCTTTCTTCTTCCTCCCTTTAACTGACAACCACGTATCACCTTGCACAATACCTCTCCCTAGGTTATTTGATAAATACTTGCTCCATTGGTTGCATTTTATAATATAGCTTGATGGGCCTGGCTTGCAGGTATGACAGTGATGAGTCAGACCCCATGCAGCCCCTGCCCCAGGAGGCCCACAGTCCAGAAGGACAGAGGAGATGAAGGACTTGCACACGATGTGACTGGGCGGGGGCAGTGGGTGGCGGTGAACCTGGGAGGGATGTGCCTCAGATGCCCCTCTCTGCCTGGGTCCTGACCTCTGCAATGCTCCCTCTCCACTCTTTGAAAGCTAACCAACCTTATAAATATGGCTGTCACTAAACCCACACAGGAGCTCACTTAGAGGAACACACACATGTCATGGATTTAGTGGATGTGTATAGTTTTACCTATTCGTTTAGCATTTGTACTCCCACCTTCTTCGGAAAGGGTTTGAAGGAATTTCCAAGTTAAACCCAATATACTTTAAGACAACTAGTGATGAATGTATATATATTTACATAAATGTATATATATATAGTATATCATATATATATTTATATACACAGACATTGTTATTCCAGCAGAGTTGAGATAACGAGAGGGAGAGAGAGACTGAGGTGGGTAGAGACACGGACAGCGCTCCCCAAGCAGTTGAGAGGTGTGGCGTGGCATACGAAAATTTGGCATGAAATCTGGCTCTGAAATTACCTGGCAGCTGTGGTAAAAGGGAGGACACCGCTGCATGGCCAAAGCAAGCACTGGACTTCCTTGGCCAGTCAGTTACCTGGAACAGTTTTTATCCTGTGGTCTCTTGGCGGTGACAAAGTGAACGCTACCAGGAACGGCCGCTACTTCATTAAGCTGACGTTTCCTTTGGGCCTCAGCTGTCTCTGCTGTGTCTCCAGCCAGGCTTCTTACCTTTGTGACTAATTCAAAGGCCACCGCCCCCTGGATGTCCTGCCATCACCTCCCATGGCCCACCCGAGCTGTCAGCTCCCATAAACGGCGTGTCCCCCTCCCTTGCCCATTTCTGTCAGTGGCCTGTCACCGGGCCCACCATCTTGGTGGCCTGTGGCTCGGCTTCCCCTAATGCCTGATGTCAATCCCTCTATCACCATGTCCTGGAGTCTTACTTTTCCCATTCCCTTTGCTACTGCAGTGGCCCCCTTAAATCCCTGCCGTTGGTCTGAACCCATTCTAGTCCAGCCACACTGGGGGATACCATTTTCATCATGTCAGCCCCCAGCTCAAGAAGAGCCCAGGGTGCCCACTGCCTCTCGACTTGTCCAGGTTCCTTGGTCTGTTCTGCCCTGCCTATCCAATCCTTCCTCAAGCCTTCGAGTGGCCTGACTCCCTTCCCTTCTCTGTCTCCTTCTTCAGCTGCTCCTTCTTCTGTGATACCTGCTCTTGGGCTTAATTCATATAACACATCTATGTGGTAGACAACCAAAAGCCCCTTCTGCTCTCAGGGAAGGTCTTGCCTGCATGAGTGTTTCTACCCTGGGAGCAGGATGTGGTTGGATGTAAGGTATTAAGGGAAGGCTTCATGGAAGGAGCCAGAAGGAAAGGCAGGACCTGTCTAAGGCAGAATACAGTTTTCCATATGGATCTCGAGTAGCGGAAGGCTGTTCCCGGCATAAGGTGTGACATGGAGGGGCACCAGAAGAGGGGAGCAGAAGGGAGTGGGAGCGGGGGGTTGACGGGGACGAGGGGAAATCGGAGCAGAAGAGCAGGGAAGGTGCGAGTTGTTGCCACAAGGCGAAAATGCATTGGTCCAGTGGGTCCCTGGGACTCAGACTCGTGCTCACGTTTCTATTGGAGGCACTATCCTGGCAATACACACCCGCTTGGGAAGAGCTGCGGGGGGAGAAATGGTGCCACGGACCCCAGTCTCCTCCCAGACCCCAGTTTGCATTAAGGACCTGGTCACTGAGCAACCCCCCCTCACTGCCGACAACAGAGCTCCGAGGGGTTCAGGGTGGGAATGAGGGGCAGAGGTCCCCCGTGAGTCATACCAGGGAGGCAGGAAGGACAGAATGCCCCTCTGTCACACGCCCACCCACAACACCTCCGAGCCTTCACTGCCTTCCCACCCTGCTGGGCAGCTGGCAGGTGGCACTCTTGGGACCCCCATGGAAGCCCCTGGCGAGCCCCTTTTCAGGGGTGCCTCTCAGGGCCTGGGGATGCTGGGGAGCCCCTCCCAGTGCCGAGGTTTGGGTCTGCCTCAGTTTCCCTCCACAAATCGGGCCAGGCTCTGATGTGTGGGTTTATTCACCCAAAACCCTGACACCAAGGCCCATAGACCGCAGATCAGCACTCTTGGGCTGTTGCCAGTTCTATCCCTGGAGATCTCTGTAGAGGCAACACTTTTCCCCCCTTTGCCTCCATCCAGGGAGGGAGCCAAGGGAAGAGATGGCAAATAACGCCACATCTGATTTCCCACGCAGACCCGCTGGAAAATAGTTATGAAGCAAACCTTGAATAATGAATAGGTTCTCCCAACTTTAAAACATGTCTCCATATCATCCTCTCCCCAACCCCAGAGTAACTCAGCACCCAGCCAGCCCCACACAGGAGGGCCACTGCAAACCCATCAGGGTTCCTCACTTGTACCCCTTCCAGGACCCTCACCCCTAGGCTGCCAGGGAGCTTGTTCTCCTTTCCACGTTGCCCCTTACCCCTTAAGTAACTCCCTCACTTTCCCTTTCCTCTCCGGGGGGGTCAGCAGGAGCCAGGTCTGAAAGCTCTCCCTTTACAGACAGTGGGGCGGAGGCACCATCTGTGGGAAGTTAGAACCAGAAAACAGTCAGGCACCTCTGAGAGGACCACTTTTTGATTCTTTGAGATCAGAAAGGGTAAGTGACTTGTGCTGAGTCACACAGCACGGTGTAGGCAAAGCTGAGAAAGGAAGGCTCTTGCAGCAGTCCCATCCCCCACCCTAGCACGGGTCTCGGGTTGAGCCAGAGCCAGCATAAGCCGTTCCTCGGCTTGGCTTGGTGGGTGTCACGGGGCTTCCAGGTTTGGGATCTGCAGGGACCAGGTGGGCGGGCCCCGCGAGCGAGCCTGCGCTGAGCGGATGCTGGGCGCAGAGGTCCGCCTGTGTTCCCGTGGGTCCCTGCGTGTCCCGACACGTGTGCCCTGTGCGGGGACCGGGGCGCACACGTGCCAGGCCTTGGGGCTGCAGGCTTCGCTGGGGCTTCTCTTCTCCTCCCCTAGTGTTATCCATCGATCGAGGCCTCTCGGAGAGGAGGTTGCCTGCCCGCTCCGAGGAGCTGAGTGGGTTCAACTTTTGGTGCAGAATTCTTTAAGGGAGTAAGAGAGGAGAGAAATCTTCATTTAAATGCAGATACAGGCTTCTCACCTGGGACTTAGGAAAGTTTTTTCCATTAAAATGCTAATGAAAGAACAAACTGAGACTCCAAATCCTCAACTCACAGATCCTCCCCCACCCCCACCCCCACCCCCAATCTGACTCTTCACTCAATCCACTGACCCTCCTTTGCTTCTCCTCCTGGGTTTCCTTGGGGCTCACACATCTCATTGCTCTGGCCGCTGGGTGCTTTGGGCAGCTCTCTGGAGAGGCCTGTGGAAGGGGCAGCTTACCTTCCTGAAAGCGACCCTCGCTGGAGACTGGAGAGGTGGTGGAGAACTCCAGCTCCGGAGTCAGTTCTCAGGCCGCTTCTTTGCTCTGTGACCATGGAAACTTTACTTAACATCTCTGAATCTTGTCTTTAAGATGGGTAATAATGCCTACCTTGTAGAATAGAATGGGTGATTTAAAAAAAATGTCTATCTCACTATAGATACACATAAAATATAAAGTCTGTCACTTAAAAGGTCACTACGTAGTAGCTAATATTATTATGACTGTTATTAGTGTAGAGGTGCACATGCTCGCCAGTCCCCACAGGCCTGGGTAAACTGGGCCTGCTCTCTGGGAGGCCGCCATGACTAAGGATTCCAGAAGGAGAGTGGAATCCGGGAATGGGGTGCTGCCTCAGTCCTACCCAGGAGCATCCTCAGGCCAGATCCTTTCCTGCACAGACGCTGACTCTCTCAGACCTGAAGCCCAGCCGGGGGCCCATGTCCGGAGGCACACAGGTGACCATCACGGGCACCAACCTGAACGCAGGCAGCAACGTGGTGGTGATGTTTGGGAAGCAGCCCTGCCTCTTCCACAGGTAACTCACCTCAGGGCAGGCTCCAGGGTTCGCAGCTCAGAGGGTGGGCGGGGCTGACAGGCAGCAGACTTCCGGCTAACCTTCTGGAGGTACCTGCTCCTCCCTGAGAAAGTGGCCGTTCGCTTTGGGAGAGGACTTTCTGGGCATACTTGGCTGTGGCTTAGCCCGGGGACCTGCCAGGCACCCCTTCCTTGGAACGGCCCATCATGCCGTTGCCCACCGTTTAGCCTTGGTGCCCGCATACCACCCACTGTGCAGGACCCTAGGGTTCCACGGGACACAGTTTGGAATCTAGGGCCCCTTCCCCCTGGGTTAGCTCCTGGCCAGCTGCTGCAGAGCCAGCCGGGACGGCCGAGAGCTGGCTGAGGTTGAACCTCCAGGGGCAGCCGACTTTCCTTTCCCTGGTTCCACCATCCAGTCCCAGGAGAGCACACCGTCCATGAGCCAGGAACCTGGGGCGGGGGTGAGGGTTGGAAGGGAGGCAAGAGGTGCCCCTAATGCAGGACTAGAAGAGGTGTGGTTGGGGACATTCCCTGCGCCGCTGGCATGAGGTTCTGCAGAGAGAGATTTTCCTGGGAGAGAGCTATGCTGAGGGCTGCGACAGATCTGAAGTGAGGCCAGGCCAGGCCTTGCCTGAGCGTTCAAGAAAAAAATGGCTCTGACACTTGTTAAAATGGTAAAGAAGAGCTTGCTCAGGACTATTGCAATAGGTGTCAGGACTGTCGCAGTGGAGAAAGAGAGTGGGCTTGACTCCAGATCCGGCAGACAGCTGGGGATTTATAGCCAAGGGGCAGAGCAAGGGAGGCAGTGGATGGAAAATTACTAAGAGGAAACGAGGTTAGGAGGATTCTTGCTAAACCGACTTAACAGGACTCTTGCTGAAGGCAGTCAGGGTGACCAGACATCAAGGGTTAAGGAGGCGGAATTTGATCAGATATCAAGGGTACTCAGATATGGGGGGGTGGGTTTCTTGCCAAACTAAGTTAGCAGGATTCTTGGTAAAAATGGGGGTCAGCAAATCAAAGACCGGGCCTCAGGAAGAAGCCTAGTCAAAAAGGGGGCTCAGAGGAGCCCGTCTACAGTCTGGTCAAGGAGAGAGTCTTTGTCAGTAGTTCTCAGGGCTTTGTGTCGGGGCGCTGCTCCCCCACTGCCTCTGACGAGCCTGATGAACAGGGAGGGGCACGGGAGGGCCCCGACCCAGGACCACAGTGTCCCGCCCAACACCACCCAGGAGCCCAGCTCCCCATCTCCCTCCCGCAGACGCTCTCCGTCCTACATCGTATGCAACACCACGTCCTCAGATGAGGTGCTGGAAATGAAGGTGATGGTGCAGGTGGACAGGGCCAAGATCCACCAGGACCTGTTCTTCCAGTACATGGAGGATCCTACCATCGTGCGGATTGAGCCCGAGTGGAGCATCATCAGGTAGGGCCTGCCCTGACCTTGGGCTTCCCTCCTCGACCCTCCAAAGCCAAGGGGAGTTCTGGGGCCCAGTCCTGCTGTGGGGACTGATGAACTGGGGGTGGTGGTTCAGAGCACCCCCCAGGTCAGACCTTCCTGGCGGGGCTGCCTCCTTCCACCAAAAGCACTCTGAGCAGGACCCGGCCCTGGGGGCCGATTTGAGGATTGCTGGGCACACTAGGAGGCCAGAAGGTGCTGCAGAGGGCATCCTGATGGCCAGGCCCCTGTTGATGTTGGGGAAACTGCTGTATCAGGGGCCTCGGGGGAAGTGGACTTGGGCTCAGAAGGAGTGGGTGCAGCCCAGCTCCACTGCTTAGCAGCCAAGTGACCTTAAATTAGTTAACCTCCCCGGATCCAGGGTTTCTCACCAGTCAGCTCCCTCACGGGACACTGAGAGGATTACGTGAGGTACAAATACCCAGTGCGGTGCTGGCTCGTCTCCCCTCCCTCCTCACCCCCTCTACCCACATCCCCCGTCCTCAGCCCTCCCCACCGTCTGCTTCAGCTCTGGAGGATGTCTGGGGTCAGGAGAGGGGGCAGAGCATGAAGATGTGGTTACCACAAGCTGAGATGGGGGGTCAATGACGAGTCCAGTCCAGAGAACAATCTTGTAAACCAGGGTCAGCAAACTCCAGCTGGGGGGCCAAATCTGGCTGTCCGTCTGCTTTCATAAATAAAGTTTTATTGGAACACGACCATGCTCATCCAAATATGTTTTGTCTCTACTGCTTTCTCACCACCGCAGCAGAGCTGAGTAACTGCGACAGACCACATGGCCTCAGTGAGCCTAAAATATTTACTGCCTGGCCCTTTACAGAAAGAGTTTGCCACCGGGCCTTACACCCAAACACCAAAAGGCAGCCTTTGGGAGATGCAGCTTGGTTGTCCTCAGCAGTTAGTCTCTGAGGCCCAAGCCTTATAAGCTTTAGCCGTGACCTGAAAGCAGATACATATAAGACAGAGAGGGACAGAGAGCCTGTAAAACCTAGTCCAGGATTTGCCCCCAGGGCCTGGTGAGTCCAGGAAGTTGGCACAGCCCCCTGTGCTTAGGCAAACTCTGTGGCTCCTGAAGGCGTTCCCAGCCTGGTTTAATTCAGTTCTTCCTCGTGTCACTGGCGCAGAAATAGAGGTGTTGTCCCTCCTGGCACTCGGCAGTCGCCCCCAGTCACTCTCACATCAAGAGGGAGGCTGGAGGTGCGTTCTGAAGGGGCCGGGGCTCCAGCGGTTTCACTGCAGTTAACGGAGTCTGGGATGGGGTGGGGCTCTGCAGAACACGTGGCTTTACACTGCTCGCAACAGCCTGGGTTACTGATGAGTGGCGATGGGTGATGGGGGCGTTCGATACACGTGTGTCGAATTGATGACCGAATAGATCGGGAGCTGGCTGGACTCCAGAAGCTCATTCGCCAGCACTGCCGGGGCCGAGAGACTCTCTGGGTTTCGAGGAAATCTTCCTGCATGTGCATACGTGGGGTGGGGACTTGCTTCAGTGGGGACCGGTGGAGGGCGAGAGGAAGGGAGGGCAGGAATGGCGTGTAAAGGGGGGCAGATGGATAGAGGGGTAGAGATGAATGGGGCTGTCAAGGACTCTTTACCCACAAGCTTATAACCACTTACCTGTTTTAAATAGATTCTTCTCAATGATACTCCCCTGATTGCAGATAACATAATTCATCACTTTCCTTTGAGTAGCCCCCAAGGAAGCTAGCCTCCATCCCATGCCAGCTTCTCAGTGGCCCTGAAGATAGGACAGTGGCGTCCAGGTTTCCATTGAAAAGCTACCCAAAGGCGAGTCTCCTAATCGCTGGGCGTTAGCAGTCCTTTGGCTGACTCCCCAGGGTGCGAGAGCCCTGGAGCATTTCAGATTTGCATTCTTACAGGAGGTTCCTGAGTGGCTGGGCCTTGGCCTTTCCCATGTCCCAGCCGACTGAAGCCTCTAAGGTGGAAATGTGTGGTATGATTGTCCTGGGGGAGGAGGCTGTGCTCAGACTTTGGAGGGTCTGGTGGAGGGTCGTCTGGAGCGAGGCTTCCCTTAGGCCAAGGCCAGGGTGAAGAAAATTCCCTGAGACTGGGGAGGACAGGGAAAGAGACGCTGGGAGACTGCAGAGAAGCAGCTGGCTCAGGTCAGGAGGCCTCGGGGGCCAAGAGGGCCGTGCTACAGGCCCAGCCTCCGTGCAGTGTCCGCACTCCGAACGAGCTCAGTGCAGGACGGCCGCGGACATCTGGTCATCACTGACTTCCCCTCGGCTGCTGAGGGCTCGTCCTTATTATTATGCAGTCAGCTTGTCATCTTGTCCCCGTGAACGTTACCCTGCCCGCCGGTTATCACCGTCTTCAGCGCTGGGGCTCAGCCTGATAGATCATCGTCGTCGTCAGGCGCTGTTGCTATACCTGTCCCTGTGTTTACACGCCTCCTTCTTTCTTCCCCACCAGTGGGAACACACCCATCGCCGTGAGGGGGACTCACCTGGACCTCATACAGAACCCCCAGATCCGTGCCAAGCACGGAGGGAAGGAGCACATCAATGTGAGTCCGGGACTGGTGGGGCTCACGGGGGCGCTGTCCACTTGGCACGTGGCCGCCCTAAAGGGTGTGGGCTCTCCCAGGGCTCAGGCAGGCTCACCCCAGACACCGATGACCCATCGCGTGTGACGCCCCAGACACTGGGATGGCGGGATGGGGGAGCAGACATGAGGCCATTTCTACACTCTGGGGTACAGGCATGCAGGAGCAATCTCTTCTGGGTTTCTGGGGCTTCTTATTCTTCATAAGGGATGGAAGACCTTTATTCTTCCATCTTCTGACCCCCAGTGCCATTCCTTAGCTTAGAGATACCCTAGTGCCTGCCATGGGCAGGGCAGAGGTAGGTGTCAGCTGCAGAGCTTGTCCTTGAGTGCCCAGGTTTTGTGGTCCTGACTCCACTGGAGCTGTGGGGATCCACCCATGACCGTCCCGTGTCAACACCACGCTGTACGACGGCACCGAGGGAGAGCCGGCGGGTGTCTGGGGCTGCAGGTGTGCGGAGACACGCCACATAGCCCTCCCTCTCCGGCTCCACCCCAGCTCTGTGAGGTTCTGAACGCTACTGAGATGACCTGCCAGGCTCCTGCCCTCGCTCTGGGGCCTGACCACCAGTCTGACCTGACGGAGAGGCCCGAGGAGTTTGGCTTCATCCTGGACAACGTCCAGTCCCTGCTAATCCTCAACAAGACCAACTTCACCTACTATCCCAATCCTGTGTTTGAGGCCTTCGGCCCCTCAGGGATCCTGGAGCTCAAGCCCGGCACACCCATCATCCTAAAGGTAGAGTGAGATGGGAGGAAGGAGGCCGCTGTATGCAAGGGGAGGCTTTCCAAGTCACAGAAGGAGGCCGCAAGTCATGGGCTTCTGCCAGATCTTGTGGCAGGTGTCATTAGCTAGCAGAGGTTGTGTTATAGCCCAGACTATGGTAAATGTGCTCTTTGAGTTTGTATTGCGAGGTTCACTCTCTTTAGGGCCCACAGAAACCTGGTCAGGGCAGCTGGATCCACCCTGGCCATGACTCCCAGCTTTGGCCCCTGAGTCCAGGACTTGGGAGGTCAAAGGCTCATACTGCTTCCTCCTGTGCAGCCCTTTGCAAACCACCTTATAGGGCTTCTTTGGAGCATGGATAGAAAATTAATTTTAACTCATGTGACAATTTGAAGCAACTGGTAGTGACTGATCACAGCTCTGTGTTGACAAGGATTCTGAAGCTGCCTTTGGGACAAGCTGAAAAGAGTGCCTTGATTATTGATTTCCCACTGAGGAAGGGGGAATAGTAGTATAGGTGTTGTGAATTTTTTGGACTTATTAGGGAAGGTGGCCTCTCCACCAGCTCCCCAGAAGGATGGGACCTCCAGGTGGGAGGACATGTCAGCCAGCCAGTAGCTGTGCTCCTGACTCTGGGGTGGGAACTTGGGCTTTCCTGTCCATGCAGGGCAAGAACCTGATCCCGCCCGTGGCTGGGGGCAATGTAAAGCTGAACTACACCGTGCTGGTCGGGGAGAAGCCGTGCACCGTCACAGTGTCGGATGTGCAGCTGCTCTGCGAGTCCCCCAACCTCATAGGCCGGCACAAAGTGATGGTGAGGCTGGCGGGACTCCACCCCGGATGGGCAGGCACTAAGGATGCGGTGGGGTGAGCGGTCCAGCTCCATCCTGGGCCACCAGGGCTTTCCGGGAGGGGATTCTGGCCTTCTTGAACTTTCCTCCTGGCTCTCCCACACTCCCAGTTCCTTCTCCTCTTCCCACTTCAGACTTCTTTCTTCCGTATTGTCATTCTTTCCATACTGGCTGGTGCTACAGTAAGGGCAACGCGAAACAGCATTCAGTGATGTGCTATGTCACCTGTTAGAGGCAAGAGACCCTTCCAGGAGAGGACCATCGTTGACCCGGGCAGGACATAATATCACGTCCTGTGCCTTTGTCATCTGTCCTCACAATGGGATGAGTCTTCGGGGATCCAGACTTTGATGGCACGTAGGCTTTTTTAGATCCCAGTTGAGTGCTGTTTCCTCATGAAGACAACCGAGTTCACTCCCGAATAATATAATGTGTGGTTTTCCCAGTTGTGGGGGTGGCCTGCGCTGAGCTGTTCACCCCCGCTCCCTCCACCCCAGGTGCCCTCTTGTCTGCTTTTACAGCCAGCAATGACTCTCCTCCCTGGAGCCATTTCCCTCACGCAACCCTGGTCACCAGCTCACGGGTGGCTTGGGACCCTTGCCTAGGATGTTCTGTGCCCACACCCAGCTCCGTCTCCCCCCGCGTGTCCCCCCAGGCCCGAGTCGGTGGCATGGAGTACTCCCCGGGGATGGTGAACATTGCCCCGGATAGCCCGCTCAGCCTGCCTGCCATCGTTAGCATCGCCGTGGCCGGCGGCCTCCTTATCATCTTCATCGTGGCCGTTCTCATCGCCTACAAACGCAAGTCCCGGGAGAGCGACCTCACGCTGAAGCGGTTGCAGATGCAGATGGACAACCTGGAGTCCCGCGTGGCCCTGGAGTGCAAGGAAGGTCTGGAGTGGCAGGGGGCGGGGCGCGAGTGCGTGCGCGTGCTGCGAGTGCGTGCGCGTGCGTGCGCGTGCGTGCGAGCGCGTGCATCTCACACACCCGCAGCGGTGGGCGGCGGGCGGCGCTGGGCCTGGGTCTCCCGCCTCCAGAATCTCTACCTCAAGTCAGGCCGGAATCATTTCAGACCCCACTAGAGCCGTGTCCAGCCCAGGATCCCGGCCGGGTGAGTTGCCCTCTCCTCTGGGGGAGACCCGGAGGTGCCCTGCCATGACGCACTCAAGCAGTCTTCAGCTCTCTTCTTTCAGAAGGTGAGGCTGGAGGGCTGATCCGAGACTTAGAGGAAAGAGCGTTTTACAGCTTGTATTTTAAAAAATTACCAACACCACCACGAAGTGAAATCAGCCGCACTAAATCCAAGAAGGAATGTGGAAGTCAGACTCTTGTCACCCCCAGGAGGTCCTTCGTGAGTCACCCTGGGAGGGCCTGAGCTGATTCTTCGTGTAGATTTATACGCGGAGTAATCAGCCTGTACCTGGGGCTCTGGCGTTCCCACCAGGGAGGCCGTGGCTCTCTAATGGGGAAGCGGGTCCCTTCCATCCTCTCTCCACATCCTCAGCTGTCAACACAGCATCCGCCTTGTGGGACTGTTAATTACTGCCTTTTACTATATTTACGCTGCTTAATTTTTTTCTCTGCAATGTACTCTTCCCTCTAATTAGGTGTAGTGATTAGAATCTCTTTTATGTGCCAGGCGTGAGGCCTTGAATGTCGGAGACGAGACGCTCAGTGACTTGAAGGAAAGCTGCAGACCTGTAAAAAGCTAGCTCCCTCCTTTTCCTCCCCACCAGCTGAGCACCCCAACTGGGAGGGGGCGGCAGGGGCAGTGTGAAGCCAGGTTCCTCTTGGAACGTTCCAGAGAAGGAGGAATTAGCAGTCACAAAGGGAGTCCTGACTCGGGGACACCAGGGGAGGGCCTTGGCTTCTAGCTCGGGAGAGGCTGTCTCACGTGGGTGGGAAGAGAGATGATAGAGCAAAGGACACGTAGGATTCGCCTTGAAAGTGTTTTCCAGAGGCGCCCCGAGCTGGCTCTTGAACGCTGAAAGGGCAGCCTGGGTCCAGGGAAGGCGACTTCCCGAAGCCTTGACGGTGAGTCAGGCCGTCAGCCACATACAGACTCCGAAGAGGCCCAGCCTGGCCCCCGCCCAAGGCCCGACCTTTGGATATATAAACACACACACACGTGCGTGCACACATGCCCACGGACACTCACTGACGCCCACTCAGGCGGTCACTCATGCCCTCACACTCATGCCCATGCACGCATTCCCACAAACACACACACGTGTGTTTCTCACTCAGCCGACACGAGTTCTCATCAGGGTTTTTGGTGACGGTACATGCCAGAAAGGCTCACTGACTCCCCTTTCACACATATTGGTGTAGGTTCCACTCAGATGTGTTAGGGTTACTCTACCTTCGGAGTCACTTTTCTTGACAAGGTCCCCCCGCGTCAGTGTGAGCAGAGATGCAGAAAGAGAGCAGCACAGGAGGGGTCTGCAGCAGCCTCTCTAGGGCTCCCGGCGCCATCCCCGTTGTCAAACCAGAACTACTGGTATCCTCAAGGCCCGGAGACCCAGGGTCCCCAAGCAGGAGGTCAGCACCGCAGGGTGTGGTGAGGTCCTGCCGGCAGCAGCTGGGCGGCCGCGTTGTGGTCACGTCGTCGGCAGGGACCACTGGGTGCAGGGCTGGCTTTTCGAGGGCCTTGGAGCTACACTGGGCTTGTGAATTCCTTCTGAGCCCACAAAGTAGTTTTTCCTTATTCTTGTCTATGTAAATAGAAAGAAGTGTTGTTTAGTCGATACCCACTGGCTGTTCTCTGCAGGCATGCATTAATCCATCGTGTGTGTGTGTGTGTGTGTGTGCGCGTGCGTGTGCTCGCGTGCATGTGTGTACATGTGCATTTGCGTGTGCTAAGGGAAAAAATGGGAGAAGGAGGGGCTGAGCACGTTACCTCTGACAACCTCCCAGGGTGGACGGCTGCACCCAGGACAGAGAGTGATCACACGGCTGTGTAACAGTGGGTCCGTGTGTGGAACTTTCTCGGGGGCCGGGGGGTGGTCTTGCAGCTTCGTGACCATGCCGGAGGCCTGGGCTGTCTCCGCAGACAGCGGTACCTATATGCAGATCATAATTCACCATTGAGTAGCATGACCTTGAGAAAGGAAGGACAAAGAGACACCCTGCATATTTATCCAGAAGGGATATATCAGTGGGGCAAGAGCCCTCATCTGGTCCCATTTGGTGGTTTGATGGCTCCAGTAAACTGCATGGCCAAGAAGTGGGACTTCAGAAGAAATAGTTCTTAACTCCTATAAGGAAACCCACTGTAAAACACAGAATCTGAAACAGACTCTCCATCACTGGAACCGCCTCCTTCACTCCCTCTGTCCTTCGATATCACCCCTAACCCCCAGCATATTTTGCAAGCCAAAGCCCTCATCTTCAGAGGGGGAGGCCCTCCTGGCCCCAGCAGCAGCTCAGATCTGTGGACAGCCTGCCCCCCATTCATGTTTTGGAAGGGATTTGGCCCAAGACAAGCTTCCTTGTGCTGCATCTTTCTCCCATACCTACATCGTTCACCTCAGCTACGTAAAACATCCCCCTCCTCCTCATTCCTGCGCTACTCGGGTCCGCTGTGCGGGTCTCCGGGGGCCTGGGAGAGGGTTCTGAGTGTTCCGAGGCGGCGTAGCTCTTGGGGCCCATCCAGCAGTCTCACGGGCTTGTCTTTGTGCCAGCCTTTGCCGAGCTGCAGACGGACATCCACGAGTTGACCAGTGACCTGGACGGAGCTGGGATTCCCTTCCTGGACTACAGAACCTACACTATGCGAGTGTTGTTCCCGGGAATTGAAGACCACCCTGTCCTCCGGGACCTCGAGGTGAGAAGCAGTTCTGTGGCCAAGTCCTTTCCCATTGTGGTGTTAGTGCAGAGAGAGACAATGGTGACCAAGTCCAGCCGCCTCATTCAGAGGAGGGTCAGCTGAGGCCAGGGAGGGGACGAGACTTGCCCAAGGGGTGGTGCCAGCTTGCCCCGCCGTTGCTGCCAGCCCGTCCTTCGGGAGGAAAGGGAACTCAGAGCAGAGGTGGGAGTAGGGCTTTGGGTCTTAGGGGGTCATAAATCCCTTGAGAATTGGATGGAAGCTGAAGACCCTCTCCTCAGAAAAACTGTCCATAGACACAGAAACGGGAAATCTGGCAAACGATGTAGGAAGTTCACGGACCCTTGTTTAAGAAACCACGATATAAGGGATTTCACCGCTTAGTTGGTGCTCAGTAAATAAATGTGGGAAAGATAAGGGCTGCACTCAGGACGAAGGTGGGAATGTGAATGATAAGAACATCACTGCCTTTGTACCAGCAGGGACCTCATCTTGTGAACAGTTTATCCCACTTAGTGTCTAGCATAGTGTCTGGCTTAAGCATATATTCGTATTATGCTTTGTTCTGAAAGGGATTTTGAATGACTTATAAATACCAGAAAAATGTGAGAAATATAAATGAGGAAAGCAGGGCAGAATAATCATCGTAAGGAATAATTACCCTGAGTTGACTGTTGACTAACATCCTGGGCCAGTTTTCAGTACTTTACACATGTGCATTGATTTAACCTCCCAAGAGCCCTCTGAAGCAGGTACACCCATTTCACAGGTGAAAACACTAAGGCCACACAACTGGGAGGGAGTGGGGCAGGGATCTGGGTCCAGCAGGGAGACTCCAGAGTCTATATTCCTAAGGACAAGCCTGTGCACGTGACTTCTGAGGGGCTGTGTCCGTGTCATGCCCTGCGGCTCTGGAGACTTATTTGGATGGATCAAAAATCTTTGGCCAAAACACCACGGAAAATAAGACTGATTCCATATTTATATTGTCCGTAACATAGAAACAGACCTGTCACTCCGGAGTTGCACAGTTAAGCAGGTACTGACCCCCTGGGAATGTCTGCATGGGTTCTCCAAGGGGACGCAGAGGCTGTGTCCCTCTGCAGGAAATGCAGCAAGTCCCCAGGGCCCTTGGGGCCCCCCACACACATTTCTCCAACTTGATGGTGGAATGAAGAGTGTGTGTGTGTGTGTGTGTGCGCGTGTGTGTGTGTGATTTTTGTGTAGACTGTGCATACCTCATTTATCTTTGTAATTCTGGCTTCCAGCAGAGTGCTTGGCACATAGTAGGCATGCAGGAAGTGTTGAATGATTTGAATAAATGAATGTCTGTGTGTCTGCCTGAATTAGGGTGGAAATGGCAGTCCTAGGAAGGCAAGTTGTGTTTGAACGTCCGCACACCCCTCAAAATAAGAATTCAACTAGGATGAGTATGTAAAGTTATTTTCTCTTTTTCATTAGCTCAAAATTCCAAGTAGATTTGCTTTAAGCATTTAACCTTTTTTTTAAAAACATCTTTATTGGAGTATAATTGCTTTACAATGTTGTGTTAGTTTCTGCTCTATAACAAAGTAAATCAGCTATACGTATACATATATCCCCATGTCCCCTCCCTCTTGCATCTCCCTCCCACCCTCCCTATCCCACCCTTCTAGGCGGTCACAAAGCACCGAGCTGATCTCCCTGTGCTATGCAGCTGCTTCCCACTAGCTATCTATTTTACATTTGGTAGTGCATATATGTCCATAAGCATTTAACTTTTAAATCAGATTTTCTGAGACCATTTCCAAGCTGGCATCCCTGTAGGGCAGCCCGGATACTTTGGAGCGGGCTGGGAGACAGCCTTCTCCCACACAAGGTGTTTTCTTGATGGACACACACACTCCACACTGCTTTCCCAACCAGTCCTATGGCCCATATTGTAAATCATGCCACGTCCTATCCTATGGTCTTGTTTCTCATTTGATCCCGTTTATCTTATGGCTTTCCCACCTGCCCTTGCATCTCTATAGATGTTTAGATTCTTAGGCCTGACTTGGCACTGATGTAGCACACACCCAAGGGCAGTGCACTCGCAAGGGCTGCCCAGGGCAGCGGAGGGGAGCTCCAGGGCTCATCCCCCCACAGGATGCTGTGGGAGGGTGCAGGTTGAACACGGCACCGCTCCAGACGGCACCGACCATACGCGGCACTTCCTGGACGCGTGCAGTGCACGACCTGCCTCACTGTCTCTAGCAGCCCTCTTTGCCCGAGACCAGCATCCTAATGACTCCCTCTCATTGCCTTTCTGAACTGTACCAGGCCCCTTGCTGAAAGCTGGTGGCATCCCCACCCAGCGGCACTTCCCAGGGCCTTTCCTCCAGGGCTAGTTCTCTGAGAGAAACTGCTGCCCAGCTCCTAGGCTTAGTCCTCAGCAAGGTGTGCAGCCCAGGAGCCCTGCCCAGCAAGCTGGGCTCCAAAGACAGGAGCCCTGGGCGCCCTCAGAGCGCTGCTCGGAGCCAGCTCCCTCCTCCCCTGTGTGCTGCCCTGACCCTGCCTGCCTTGTTCCCAGGCATCTGAGGCACCCCTCACTGGAGGCTTCTGGGGCTGCAGAGTGAACTGCAGCAGACTCCTACCCCTGCTCAGAAAGCTTCAGGAGCCCTTGTTCCGTACGGTCCAGAGACCCACAGTGTCTTCACTTCACTGGGACACCGCCCACCCCGCAGGCTGGACACACACTCACCAGGGCACGTGCAGATCTGCACCACCAGGAGTCCCTGACTCCCCTGCCCCGCCCATCGGTCAGGGGCTGTGGGATGAGCTCAGCCCTTGAAGGGCTGCCCAAGAAGGCCTCTGAGAATCGGGGCTGCTGGGTTCTGATGATTACCTGACCAGCCTGTATGACTCCCCAGATGGTCCCTGGGTGGACACCTCACGTCTGCCCGAGACCGTTCCCATGGGCCCCGTTACAAGTCACAGCACGTCCTACCGTGGCCTGATTCCTCATCTGGCACGTTAGAAGTTCCCCTCAAACCTGAGGCTTCTCTCTTGTCCTTGCCTTTATCACAAGGGGAGACTTTCTCGTCCCATCCTTCTGCTCAGGATGGAGTTAACAGTCAGCTTCACCGATTTCCCTGAGTTGGAGACCACGAGACGGCTAATCGTCATGCATGGGCTCTGAATCAAGCAGGTCACACAGATTTTTTTAAGTTCTGGTAAAATATACATAACATAAAATTTACCATTTCAGCTGTTTTTAAGTGTACAGTTCAGTGGCCTTCAGTTCACTCACATTACTGTCCGTCACTACAGTCTATCTCCAGAACTTTTTCATCTTCCCCAGCTGAAACTCTGTACCCATTGAACAGTAACTCCCCACTCCCCCTCCCCTGCAGCCCCTGGCAACCACCATTCTACTTTCTGTGTCTATGAACTTGGCTAATCTGGGTACCTCATATAGGTGGAATCATACAGTATTTGGACCTTTGTGACTGGTTTACTTCACTTAGTAAAATGTTTTCAAGGTTCATCCTTGTTGTACCACGTGACAGAATTTCTTTCCTTTTAAGACCGAATAATAGCCCATTGTGTGTAGAAACCACATTTTATTTATCCGTTCATCTGTCTGTGGATACTTGGGCCGCTTCCACCTTTTGGCTAGTGTGACAATGCAGCTATGAACATGGGCGTACAGATATCTGTTTGAGCTCCTGCTTCCATCTTTTGGGGCATATACCTAGAATATAAGACTTTTTCATTTCCATTGAACTCATTAATTAATTTCTTACAGACAGAAATCAACTTTTACTGTTCCACATTAGCTTGGGGCTATGTGAGATCCAGCCTCCTTTGTAAGATCCAGAGATCTTGTGTGGATGGTTCTCTTCTTATGTGTTTCCAACCTCTCCCTGCCACTGGAATAGTTTCTCTCTATTGGTTTTCCGGGTTTGGAAACATTCCTAGGGAAGCCATTGACTAATCTAAAGCAGGGTTTGCACCTTTTCAGGCACTGGGATGGGCATGGTAGGTGCGTGTGAAGAAGATGGGGTCCTCTGGCTCTAGGCTGTCCTGGAGGTTAGGCTACCAGGCCTCTCTTCTGTGACCGTCTGGTGCAGTCCGGGCATTTGGGTGAGGGGTTGCCCGGGCACTGATCACACACCAGTCCTTCAAAGACAGAGAGCAAACAGTAACCACACACCTCATTTTCCACCTATATCATTGCCTCCTAAACTCTAACCTATTGGGTTACAGTGAAAATTTACTATCCAGTTTTATACTCGCAGACTTCAACTAAATTATCGAACCGTCTGGTGAATAAAGAAAGTCTTGTTTCAGGGTGCCGTCTGCTTAGGGAGTAGGGGTGCAAGTTACACAGGGGAACTGTTCTAGATACACTCTACCAAGGCACTTCCCTCCATCCCCTCTTCCTGAAAGGGGGAGAAAATGCCTACTTTCCACACCCAGACACTGTGCCAATGCATTAGGTACCTTGGAAACTCTGGGGCAAGAGGGATCAGTGGAAACAGCCAATGGAGGAGAGGCAGGTAATAAAACTTCTGCTGTTTAAGCGTGCTCTGTGTGCACCGAGCACTTTACACACGTTATCTCATTTAATGTTCTTGAAACATTATGACATAGGCACTCATATTCTCATTTTATAGATGAGGCAATAGAGCCCGGAGGTGACAGGGCTTTCCTCCATGTACGAGTCTGTTAGTCTCTCTGATTCCAAACCCCATGCTGCTACAGGATGCTCTTTCCCTGCAGGTAGCTTCGCTAAACCCTCCTTCCCAGGGCCCTGAGCCTTGCTGCCCAGAAGGAGCGTGCAGCCAGGTCAGGGAGTCCAGAGCACATCCTCCTCCACTCCAGGCGCCACAAGCCAAGCCTGCACTTGGCTCCCCTGCCCTCGACGGACGGCCACCTGAGCTCCAGGAGGCCCTGCACGGGGCGCTGCAGGGGGGACTCAGAGCTGGCCTTCAGTCACCTCCCAGGCCCAGGGGTAGGCCAGACAGGCCAAGGATGCGCAGGATGGACGGGCGCTCAGGAGCCAAGCAAGCTGGGGTTTGGCAATCCTGCTGGCTGGCCTTGGGAAGCCACAGTAGCTTCCCTGAGAGGCTATTAAAAGAGGGTCACGAGAAGGCTTCATTGGATCAATGTGTACAGTGTGCCAAGACTGTCCTTTGTCCATGGCGGGAGCCCAGGAAGTGGCATTGTCTCTTATTATCGGGACAAATTAGAGAAATGTCTTCTGAGAGGTCTGAAGGAGAGGGGAGGTAAAACGGGTACGCCTGTGTGGGAGGGGCTGTCTTGGAGTGGGGGGCTGGGCAGTAGGAGACAGACATCTGGGCAGATTGAGGCCCCACGCAGTGGCACAGTGAGGTGGCCATGTCTCCCTGCTTTTCCCTCAAGAGCCACCGTGGAGTGGGGGACTAGGGGGGCCAGGCAGGAGGCAAGCCGAGGCTAGAGACCTTGGGGAACCAGAGGGTCTCCAGGAGGGGCTGTGCTGAGAGGCTGGCGGAGCCGCCGGTGGCCTGGCTGGCACCACCCTGGCTCTGGTGAGCTCTGCTCTCTCCTGAGAACTGCCTGGAGAGGTACCAGCCTTCCGTGTACCAGCACAGCGGCAAAGGAAGTGCAAACGGCCCGGTTTTGGAAACATGCATGTTCCTGACCTGTGGGACCTGCTGATGCCAGGCAACGGGGGTTCAGTGCGAGTGTCTCTCTGAAGAGTTTAGGGGTCCCCCCACTGAAGGGGCCTTGAGACTGTTGGCCTCCCCAGTTTAAAGTCTTCAGAGTGAAGCAGGATGAAGTTGCCGCCATTCCGTAGCTGGACTGTGATGGTGCTGAGGCTTTTCACGCATCTCGTTCCTGCTCCCAGGAGCCCCAAGAGGGGGCAGGACACGGTGCCAGCTGCCCAGTTCATGGCCCGGTCTGACACTTCTCTGTCTTGGGGTCTGGGGAAAGTTCCTTATCCTCGTGGGACCCTGGGGTAATAATGGCACCTACCTCGTAGGCTGTTGGGTGGATTACATGGGTCAGTATTTCTAAAGCATGTGGAACTGTGCTTGGCATAGAGTAAGGTCTGTATACATATTAACTGCAGTACCTTCATGTTGTTGATAAAGGAACTGAGTCTCCTAAGGGTTCTGCAACTCATAAATGACTGTGATGAAGTTAATGCAAGCTCAACGGACTCTGAAACTGTGTTCTTTACTGCTCCATACGGGACACTCCTTCCCAAGGACCTGGTGCATCTACTCTCCCTGCCCCCGCCAGGGGGGACACATCCCTCAAGATGAGGCTTCGATGGCACCTCCTTTGGATGCCCCACCTCCTCCAGCATGCCACTTCCCACCAGATGCCCTGCTCCATGTTCTCAGAGGGCCTTCCCTCCAGGGCAGAGGCTGTGCTTCATTTTTTAAGTGAACTTTTTGTTTTAATGGAAGTATACAGACAGAGCAATACACAAATTATCAGAACACAGCTCAGCGCATTTTCCCCGAGTGAACACAGCCATTAAGCCAGCACACAGATCGAGAAGCAGAACATTACCAGCCTCCAAAAGTCCCCCTGTGCCCCTTTCCAGTCACAGCCGCCCCCAGAAAACCCTTTTTTTCCCCATTGATGAATGTTAATTGTTTTTCTTAAATCTGGATTTAAATGGTATTGTCCAGTATGCTCTCTTTTGAGCGTGGCTTTTTTCTTTCAATATGTTTGCAAGATTCATCCCTGTTATTGTGAGTAGCAGTGGGTCCTTCATCCCTATTGCTGTGCAGCATTTCATTGGGTGAATGCACCGCAGTTCCTGGAACCCTCCTATTGTTGCTGGGCCTCTGGTTGTTTCCCATTTGGGGCATGACGCATGGTGCCGCTGTACCTATTCTCGTGCATCTCAGAGACGCATCCTCCATGCACAGCTCAGTCGCTGGCTCATGTTGCTGAGTGGATGGTACACCCTTGCACCCTTGCACGGACCTCCCAGTGAACAGAAGATGCAGGAAGGAAGATAAAACCTTCTTCCCCCCCTTTCCCTGCATGGAGCAGGGTCTCAAAAGGAATCCCTAGGAAAACATCAGATGCTAGAGCTAGGGAGTGCCTGAGAGGCTCTTGGGCTTAAGCTTTCCCTTTTTTAGGTGAATGAACTTGGGCCCCCAGAGAAGTAAAGGGACTTGTCCAAGCTTATGTGGCGTGGGGATGTCAGAGCCCACGTGGAACCCATAAGTCCTGACTCTGAGCCCACTGGTCTGTCAACAGGACCCCCAGGGCCAGAGACAGGTCAGCATTAGGTTAGCCAGAGGCCCAGGTTTGGTGATCCCCCAGCAAGGGCGTCACTCATAGCATCCTTGACCTCCTGGAGTCCCTACCTGGGACTGTGATGGTGCCTCCAGTGGCGTGGGGTCCCCTTGTCCACGCCATGCTAATGATGACGTTCTCTCTGTCTCTAGAGACAGTGACCTGCCTCGTGGGCTGTGATGGAGGTTAGGTAGACACCAAATGTGGCGCCTGGCTCTAGATAAGGACTTGGTGGCATCAGCCAGGTGGCCTGTCGTGGGTGAATGGGAGGATGGGAGGGTCAGCAGTGTGCACGGCCCACCAGGTGGGGTGTCCCTGGGGCCTCGCCTGTCTTGGGCAACAATTAAGACTCGCGCACCCCTGGGTCTCCCCCGCAGGTCCCGGGCTACCGGCAGGAGCGCGTGGAGAAAGGCCTGAAGCTCTTCGCTCAGCTCATCAACAACAAGGCGTTCCTGCTGTCCTTCATTCGCACGCTGGAGTCTCAGCGCAGCTTCTCCATGCGTGACCGCGGCAACGTGGCCTCGCTCATCATGACGGTGCTGCAGAGCAAGCTGGAGTACGCCACCGACGTGCTGAAGCAGCTGCTGGCTGACCTCATAGACAAGAACCTGGAGAGCAAGAACCATCCCAAGCTGCTGCTCAGGAGGTAGGGATGCGGCCCCGGGGTGTCCGACCCAGCCCAGCGCACCGGCCTGGCCCTCCTGCCCTCAGGGAGACCAGGGCAGGGCTCCCCGGAGCAGCCAAGCCCCCCAAGGTCAGGTACTGACCTGGCCAGAGGCCAGGGTGCACCCCATGCCCTCTTAGAAGAACCTGTCCATCATGTTCGTGCCTCTGACTCAACCACGGCCCATCTGCTCACCCTGTGGTTTTTCTTCTGCCCCTAAATCCACTTTCCATTCTCCTCCCTCTGCTCTAACCCTCCCCTGATTTGACCCTCTCTATCAGAGGTTTTCTCTTGGGCACTCTTCAGAGGTCATCTTTCCATCCCCTCACCTTATCTAAGTCAGAGCTTGAATCAGGACAGACACCTCAGGGCCTCTCTGGGAACCCACCTCACCATCTCAAGTTGGGAAACTTTAGCCCCTGCAGCTCTCACTGCTGTCTGGTAACAGGAGAAGAAGCATCACCCGGGAGGTTGTTGGAAAGGCAGAATCTCAGGTGCCACCCCACACCTACTAGATCAGAATCAGCATTTTAGCGAGAAACCTAGGGGATCTGAATGTGTAGTGAAGTTTGAAAAGCACTGGTCCAGTCTTTAGCGGCAACTTGCCTGATGCAACACAGCAAGTATTTCCTGGCACCTGCTATGGGCTCTGCCCGGGTCCAGGGTCCGCCTCTCAACACCGTGCGATGCCTCATCCTCGACACCGTTGAAATCTGCATGGTCACGTGTGCAGAAATAACCATATACCGTGCCTTTGCCTTATACAAAATCGAGACCCTCTGCCTCTGTCTACGCTGCCATTCAAATTGTTCATGTACTTGAAGGCCATTGCAACCAAAAGTGTCCTTTGGTTCGTGATGCTGCTGTGGTGTTTTCACTTCCAAAGTAAAAGAATAAATGGGTTTGGGTAGCAGCATGAAAGATGCAAATTAGACTCAAGAATGAACTCCCTGTCATCGCAAATAAAACACTAGAAAGGTTCCCAGGAGAAGTTCCAAAGTGCGTGGAAGCCTTTTAAATAGGACAATTTGGGCATCTGTTGGAATGAGCTGGGTATCCAGCTCCATGTTACTACCTACTCTGGGAGTCTTTAGCTTAGGGGATGGGCTCAGTCTAGTCTATCTGGCCTTTCTCCTTGACCCTCTTCCCCTGCCACCTTCTTTTCTATCCCTTGCCAAATGAGTATCTCCCAGATTTTTTTTTCTTTTCTTTTCTTACCCCAAGGAACACACCTATCCTATAAAGTTCTCTAAGGCTATCACCAGTGTGGCAGCTATGAGCCACATGTGACTATTTAACTCTAAGTTAATTTAAAGTAAATAAAATAAACAATTCAGCTCCTCAGATGCACTCGCCGCATTTCAGGCGCTCAATAGGCATCGGTGGCTGGCGGCTACCATGCTGGACAACACAAAGTGCTACTGGGCTATTTCATCCACCCCGAAAGTGCTCTTGGACAATTGGACAGGGCTGCCCTAATGCGTTCTCACAGAAACTCACCCGGGAGCCTGCGCACAGAAGGTCATCTCCCCGCTTGGTAGGCAAAGCTTGTCTTATCATTATGGTGTGTCTAGGAGTCCAAGGAACTCAGGTATCCCTCAGGGTCTTAAGATTTGGCCTGAAAGCCTTAAGCAGCAAGAGCCGTGCAGATCCCCCTGCCCTCCCAGCCCCTGAGGTCTGACCAGCTGCCTCTGTCTTTGTCTTGCCCTGCTGGGTCCCTCTGTGACTGGTGCCAGGACTGAGTCGGTGGCTGAGAAGATGTTGACCAATTGGTTTACTTTCCTGCTCTACAAGTTCCTCAAGGTATGATTGGATTCTGGGGGACCTCTGGGCCTACCTCAGTTTCCCCACCAGCCTGGGAATGAACCAGCATCCCCCCTATTTCCTCCACGGCCCCCAAGTCCACAGATGCTGGGGCCTAGCTCCTAGAACCCCGCCAAGAAATGTAGTTTCCCTTGTCATGGAGGGAACAGGCTCCTGACCATCTCAGGAGACAGAGACCCACGGTCAGGCCTGGTTTGAGAGGCACGGTCCCCACAGGTCGCTCTCTCACAGGTGAGGGGAGATGAGCTTCTGAGAAGACCCTGCATTCCCATTTCACGCTGAAGACAAGTCACCCCTTTTTTTTCCTCTTGCTCTCCTCCTGCCCCTCCGGCCCCAGACTTACTGAGGCTGATGAGGGTCCTGGGCAGGTACAGGAGCGCGTGTGGCGGCAGATAAGCCGAGGACATGCCTGGGAGGTGGAAGAGCTGCTCGGCCTCCAATTACTAACTTGTTTTCTAAGGAGTTCACGCCACCGAGGACTGACCTCTGTCTCTCTCTCTCTCTTTTTTTTTTTAATATATCTTTATTGGAGTATAATTGCTTTCCAAGGGTGTGTTAGTTTCTGCTGTATAACAAAGTGAATCAGCTATACATATACATATGTCCCCATATCCCCTCCCTCTTGCATCTCCCTCCCTCCCTCCCTATCCCACCCCTCCAGGACCTCTGTCTCTAGATGGGGCTGCAGAGAAAGCAGGGTGGAGTGAGGGCGGGGAGAGGGGCAGAGAGGGGGCCGGGGGCCGGGGAGATGAAAAGAGAGCTCAAGAATGGCAGTGGGAAGGAGCAGGAGAAGAGAATTATAACTGAGGAGTGGAAAGCAGCCCTTCGGAGAGGCAGAGGCTGGGGGAGGCCGGGCTCCGCACACCTGGGGCCCGGGATCCACCCAGCATGACTCTTCTCTGTGTCCAGGAGTGTGCCGGGGAGCCCCTCTTCTCCCTGTTCTGCGCCATCAAGCAGCAGATGGAGAAGGGGCCCATTGACGCCATCACGGGCGAGGCCCGCTACTCTCTGAGCGAGGACAAGCTCATCCGCCAGCAGATCGACTACAAGACCCTGGTAAGCCAGCCTCCCAGCTCCTCCCCGTGGCTCTGGTGGGTGGGTTCTGGCCCTGCGCAGCCCCTGCCCAGCCGAAAGGATGGTGGAAATGCTGACGACCATCCTCTCTAACGCCTCTTTAATGCCACTGCTCTCAGCCACCTCTCTGGGTGCCCACTGCACGGGGCCAGCCTGGTGTTCCACCTGTGCCAGTCACTCCATCTGTGCCGGTCACCCCGACTTCCTTGTCCTAACATGCCAGGGCACCTGGATTTGAAGACCGGTGGCTCAGACACACCTGAGCAACAGCAAGAGACCGGTGTGCTTTCAGGCTGGTGCACTGGATTGTGTGGCAGTAACCCCTTGCCGGCAGCTGGCTGACTGATCCCAGGGAATGAACTCCTTCTCAGCAGTTCTCCCAGTGGAGAACCCATACTTCGCAGACCAGTTCCAAGCAGGTAGCATGTAGAGCACGAAAGAGGGGAAGCCAGAAGTGGTTGCTCGTGGTTCTGAAGGTCGCACCTACATGACCCGAGCTGTAGGATGGGAGGCCAGGCTGGCCTAGCGGTTTAAGGTGTTTGTCCAGGGAACAGGGGGATCCCCTCAGTCAACGTTACACTCCCTTTCCTGCCAGAAACAGGCATCCTAGGAGGCAGCAAAGCTCAGCATTTAGGAGCACGGGGTTTGGAATCGGGCAGAGCTGGATTGGAGCTATGACTCCTTCTGACCAGCTGGGGGATTCGGGGCTTAATCTCTCCAAGTTTGGGTTTTGTTTTTTTAATCTGAAAAAAAAAAAAAGAGGGATAATAATAAAAGAGGGATAATGACAGCATGTAGCTCCTGAAGGTGTCCAGAAGATGGAGTGGGATCTGGTGTACAAAGCTGTGAGCCCAAGGTCAGCCCACTGCTGCCTCACGGGGGCTCTGCTTCCTCTTTCCCGCCATACCTGTCCGCTGGTGCCCACTGTCTCTCCAGGCGGGAGAGCTCACTCTTGGGCTTTTCTTGGAGAGAGTTGTGACCTCCCACCAGATCTTTTCCAGGAAAGAGAAGAGGAGGTAGAAGAAAGGAGTGAGAAAACAAGATAAAAGATAAATGTGGAGGGTGGTACGTGGGTGGATCCCAAGAATGGAGGTGGAAGAGACAGCAATGGTGTTAAAGAGGACAGAGAATAGATGGGATTTAAAATGCAGTCATTGGGAAGTGAGACACATGACAGGCCAAGGCATGGCAGAGCCCGGCAGGGGCCGAGAGCCGAGGATGAATCCCAGACCCCGAGGCCAGCTGGGGAGACATCCCTGCCACTCTGAATAAAGCCAGTCCTGCTGGCTGGGCGTGATGCAACCGTGATGCACCTGTCCCACTCCGTCCTCGGAGGGCCCTGGGAATCCCAGCAGGCATCTCAGCAGATTTGCCGGGATTGGCTCAGTTGACGAGGCTTTGAGGCAGCAGGGTGAGTGAGGGCCCTGCTTCTTTGCAGTCGTCGTCTGCTCCAGAGGAGAGAGTTAGAAGCTCTGATTAAAATGGGAAAGGAAGGGCTTCCCTGGTGGCGCAGTGGTTGAGAGTCCGCCTGCAGATGCAGGGGACACGGGTTCGTGCCCCGGTCCGGGAAGATCCCACGTGCCGTGAAGCGGCTGGGCCCGTGAGCCATGGCCGCTGAGCCTGCGCGTCCGCAGCCTGTGCTCCGCAACGGGAGAGGCCACAACAGTGAGAGGCCCGCGTACTGCAAATAAATAAATAAATGGGAAAGGAAAAAAAAAACCTTCCAAAAATAGAGACCAGAATAGATTTCTTAATGAGCTAGAACTACTGTTGAAATGTCTCCTGCCTGGTCTCTCCCTCTCCCTTTCTTTCCCATCTCATCAGCGGCTCCCCAGTATTGAATCCAACACGGTTGTAATAACACTCTGTCCCCAAATTGCAGCATCCTTTATTCCAGAGCCCAAACTACTGTTAGCACACCCAGCCTGGTTGCAGATGACTTCAAGAGAATGTGAGGAAATTGGAGTGGGTCAGGGACGCGCATCCATCTGAGGTGGAAAGAGTTGGGGAAGAGGCACCGTGAGGAAAGGGGAAGGAAATTACAGTTGTCTTGCTTGGAGAAGAAATGGCTGTGGGGAGGTTTCATAGCCATCCTCAGGCCTGTGAAAGGAACCCCCCCACGTGGAAGGGGGAGCAGCCCGGTGGTGGTGAGGAGGGGCCAGGAAGAAAGTGTGTTAGCAGCAGACAGGACTGACCCGAGACTCCAAGATGAAGGGGTCAGAAAAAGACAGGGTGGCCTGCAATTCAGCACTGGCTGGAGGAGCCCAGGGTACTTTGGGCCAACTGATGGTAACCTTGTGCTGGGCGGAAAGGGTAACCACAAAGAGTGAGACAGGTGCTGAGAGGCTCAGCCAGTATCACTTGACAGTCAGATGCACCACCTACGTGTTGAGTGATTAATTAGATTGAATTTGGACTAGCATGGCCTAGGGGCCTGCTGCTGGGAGTGCCCAAGGGCACAAACTGGGAGCCTGCTAGAGTGCTAGGTGCTCACCTGTGATCCTGCCTGAATGCAGAGTCTCAGACCCCATCCTCGACCTCCTGAGTCAGAATGTGCGTTTTCACAAAACCCCTTTAGTGATTCTATTCACAGGAAAGTTTGAGAAACACTGACCTAGCAGAACAAACCCCAGGCAGTTGCTCTGAAATAGCCAAGAGACCTGGGCGTGGGGCTGGGGAAGGGAACTTCCAGGTGGAGCTGGGGCTTGGCCAGCGGCCAGGGAACCCTGTCCCTCCGTGGGACCACTGCTGCTTCTCCGGATGCCCTGAAGCATCCACAGAGTTGTTTTCATGGGGCCACCACGAACCCCAGGGGCAAGCAGAAATGTCAGGGGGGCATACTCAGGTGGCAGCCCCCGCTTCATGGTCTCACAGCCCAGAAGAAGCTGTGATACTGCCTGGGGGAGGCCAGGCTCCACCACCACCACTGGCCCAGAGCTCAGGACCCCAGGGCAGCACCAAGTACTAGGCTGTGCTTGGCCACGGAGGGGGGCTGGGAGGGGTCCCGGAAGGCTCTTAGGAGGCAGGGAATGGCTGGGAGAGGGCACACAGGAGGAGCACGTGGTCCAGAGTTCCTTCCAGCATTGTTTTCGGTTTAAAACATTTTGAGGGTGACAGTTCGTTTTTATAGATTTAGGAGGTTCTCTTCTTAATGGAATGAGCATGTTCCCATGGGAGCTCACAGCAGTCTGGTCGCTAATGAAAGGCAGGCGTCCAGGGGCCAGGGTTCTGACTGCCGCCACGTGGACCAGGAACGGGTGGGGATGGGCAGAAGGCTGTCGTCTGGATCTGCAGACCAGACGTACGGTTGGGAAATGGTTGGCGGGGGAGGTGGTACAGTGAAGGTTCTGAGAAGGGAGCGCACAGAGGGCGCAGGCAGCAGGGTCAGACGGGCTGCAGAACCCGGCTCGGCGCGGCCATCTGGCAGCACCTGTGACCCACAACACCCACCCGGATCCACTCTGGTCCACCCAAAGATCCCACGGTCTCACCACGGAGAGAGAGCCCACGCTGAAGACGGCAAGAGAAGCAAAGCTGTTAGAAATGGCCCAGAACTTTTTTTTTTTAATAAATTTATTTATTTATTTATTTTTGGCTGTGTTGGGTCCTCGCCACTGCACGTGGGCTTTCTTTTCAGTCGCGGCGAGCGGGGGCTGCTCTTCGTTGCGGTGCGCAGGCTTCTCATTGTGGTGGCTTCTCTTGTTGCGGAGCACGGGCTTCAGTAGTTGTGGCACAGGGGCTCAGTAGCTGTGGCTCAAGGGCTCTAGAGCGCAGGCTCAGTAGTTGTGGTGCATGGGCTTAGCTGCTCTGCAGCATGTGGGATCTTCCCGGACCAGGGCTGGAACCCGTGTCCCCTGCATTGGCAGGCGGATTTTTAACCACTGCGCCACCAGGGAAACCCTGGTCCAGAACTTTTTAAAGGAAAAAATATAGTTTGGTGCATTAGGCAGAGTCTTAACTTATCTGACTAGTTCCAAAAAGAGAAATGGAGGTCCTGAGCTAGGGTGGCCTCTTCCCCTAATACCAGGTTTCAGGTTCGGAGCCAGGAAGGGCTGTCAGGTGGCCTGAACTTGCAGTTTTTTAAAGGGCACCATTTTTTTTTTTTTTTTTTTTGTTTTTTGGGTTGTGGGCCGCTCTCTGTTGTGGCCTCTCCCGTTGCGGAGCACAGGCTCCGGACGCGCAGGCTCAGCGGCCACGGCTCACGGGCCCAGGCGCTCCCGGCATGTGGGATCTTCCCGGACCGGGGCACGAACCCGTGTCCCCTGCATCGGCAGGCGGACTCTCAACCACTGCGCCACCAGGGAAGCCCTAAAGGGCACCTTTTTATTTTTAAAGAACACTCTAAGCTTCTTACAGATTCTCCAACCTCCGATCAGCCCAGAACCCTCACAAAAATCGAAGCACATGAAATCTTTGGAGAAAGGAGCCAGATTCCCATTAGTGTGGGTGTGTGTATGGGACAGAGTAATGAGAAAGACAGACCGACACACAGGGATGGGGGTTGCAGAGGTGGGCGAGGGTCTGGGTGTGTTGCTGAGATGCTGCCTAGTGAGTGTGTGTGTGTGTGTGAGAGTGAGTGAGAGAGAGAGAGGGGTGGCAGGGGGACATGCAGTAGTGTCCATTCTCTGACACGTTGCCCCTCATTGCCCCCTCCTGCTTGGATATTGTTCCCTTTGATAAATCAGGATTTTAATGGAGTCTCTCGTGAAGAGTGAAATATGCAGCTCCTACTCCTGCAGTGATGCTGAAGCTGTACCACTTTCCTGCTGCTTGTGGGGACAGGAAGGGTAGAGGGCTTGGCTGGGGTCGCCCCGCCCCTGTCCAGTCCAACCTGCCGAGGCGGAGCCAGTCAGGATAGGACTCCGGGATGCGGCTGGCATTCGCAGGGCTCTCCATGCTGCCCTCCCCACTCACCGCCTCTCCCCACCGCCCGCAGGTCCTGAGTTGTGTCAACCCAGACAATGCCAACAGCCCTGAGGTCCCAGTGAAGATCCTCAACTGCGACACCATTACTCAGGTCAAGGAGAAGATTCTGGATGCCATCTTCAAGAATGTGCCCTGCTCCCACCGGCCCAAGGCTGCAGACATGGACCTGGGTGAGTAGGGCCGCCCACCCAGGGGGCTGTGCTGTGACTGCTTGGAAGCCCCTCTTACCAACCAGTGGAGCCAGGGTGCAGGGAGCAGGCGTGCACGGCCCCCAGGAGCCCAGGAGGTGCACCTTCATGGCCACTTAGTGAGCAGTAAGCAGAGGGGGGACCATAGTCTGCTGGTGATCTGACTGCCTCTGGGATCTTTTGAGTAGCCGAGGGGTGGGAGTGGAGGTGTCACATCGGCAGTGAAGAGGATTTAGTCTGAATCTGTGTGGCCCAAGGTCTTGCCACTACCTGCGTCGTGCCCCCAGGCCCTTCCCTTCGCCTCTGTTCTGTGCCTCTAATTTTTGCTGACTACCGAAGGCAAGAGGGATCTGGGTCAGTGGTGGAGGATGGAGAGAAAGGATAGGGAAAAATGAGATATGACAGCCTACTGGGGAGTAGGATGACATTTTATTTGAATGTTCCACGAATAGATCGCATAGCCTATATAAACAAGGGCATGCCACTTAGGGCCAGCTGTCCTTGGATCCAGTTATGGCTTGCCTGAGTGTTTAATAAGATATCGTCCTGGGGAAATCCTAGTGGGGAGCCCCAAGCTCCAAAGAGGCCGGGGCTGAAGAGAGGCAGTTTGGCATTGTGGATCAGCATCAAACATGCCTGGGTTTGAGTCCTGGTTCCACCAAGTCCTAGCTGTGTGACCTTGGTCTAGTTACTTAACCTTTCTGTGCCTTAGTTTCCTTGCCTATAAAATGGAGATTAATAATAGTGCCTGCCTCACTGTAAGAATGAAAGGAGATGATGCATGAAAAAGCCTCTAATGCACTGTCTGGCCCATAGTACATACTCAGTATCGGCTGCTACTGTTACTGATTATGGAGATAATAGTGGTAAGGAAACGGTATGTGTCTGTTTGTTGGTCCTGGGCCTGGAGGAAAAGGTGTTTATGTGTGTATGTGGTTGGGTCTGGAGATTGGTGGAAACATAGAGGTGGGAGGACCTCCAGAGGCCCCTAATCCATCCATCTGGCCTCTCTAAGCTGGCTTCAGCTAAGCCATCCAAGACAGATGGGCGTCTGTGCTATTTTCTAAACTCCACAGGGAATTTGATCCCCTCCCAGTGCCTCGCCCCACCTGCCCCCAAATTCTGATGCCTAAAGACTCAGGATCAGGAATTTCTGCTCACTCACCTCAATTCTTACTGCTTCCCTTCCCCCATCTCCTCCTGGCTGGCTGTTGTCGGGATGTGTTTGGCCCTGTGCCTGGAGCTCCATGGCCCCAGGGAGAGAGACTGGCTGAGCATGTGCTCCCTGGCTGAGCATGTGCTGCCGTTCACTTTGGAGGTGTCTCTGTGTATGTTGTTTCTAGGACCAAGAGGAAGCATCTGTGAGAGTCTGCAGTGGGGGGGGGGGGGCGGTGTTGGGCAAGTGTGTCCATGTGTGTCCCGGGCACTGGTCCCTAGAGTTGGAGTGGGCATTTGTGTCTGTATGCGGGTGATTCTGCTGCCATGAACGTCCCACAGACTGATGGAGCCAAGGGCTCGCTTACAGAACCAGTGCAAGAGAAAACAGTTTCTGGGAAGGAAGACCCCTGTGTTTCCCACCCCCAAACAATTAAGTGGGCTACTCCATAATGGGTCTCCCAGGGAGAGTTGAATTCACTAGGGTAACCAGGTAGCATTCACCATGCCTTTTGTTCATCTGTGGGAGCCATGGCAGGGTCCACCCTCGGCTTTTCAAAGTCATTATCTGCAAAATGGGTGGGTGGGAGGAGAGCCCTGGCCTAGCGGGGCAAGAGGAGGAGCTGTTATAAGAACCTGTATCTTTATGCCGAAGGTGTTTAGAGAGCTCACGGGTGCGGGTGCATGTAGAATTGTGCGCTTCTGGTGCTTGGGAATGGGGTGACCTCCCATGGGGGAGAGAGACCACGTCATGGCTGGTGGATATGCTGCTCAAGACCAGCCCTCCCCACCTGGAAGCCACACACCCAGAGCTTGGGAGGGGGAGGGGCTGCTTTTTAACTTCAGAACATTTGCTGGGTTCTAGCCCAGCAAAGCATCATTAATGAAAGGATGTGATGCATCTGGAGTGAAGGCACCAGCATCCAGAGCAGCCACGGCCACTTCCTGCCACCCACTTCCTGCCGTCCACTTCCTGCTGATGTCCACTTCCTGCTGTCCACTTCCTGCCATCCACTTCCTGCCGTCCACTTCCTGCCACCCACCTCCTGCTGTCCACTTCCTGCCATCCACCTCCTGCCGTCCACCTCCTGCTGTCCACTTCCTACTGTCCACTTCCTGCCGTCTACCTCCTGCCATCCACCTCCTGCTGTCCACTTCCTGCCACCCACCTCCTGCTGTCCACTTCCTGCTGTCCACTTCCTGCCATCCACTTCCTGCTGTCCACTTCCTGCCGTCCACCTCCTGCCATCCACTTCCTGCTGTCCACCATGAGTGAAGGAAGCCTGAGGGCTGAGCAGCAACCAGGACCCGCCTGAGAGCTGCTACTCTCTCAAGCTAGAGGCTGCTCAGGCCGGGGGCTGGGCCTCCAGTGACACAGTGCTCGCCAGGTCCCAAGAGGACAAAGGACCTACCTTTCCCATCATAGGAGCTGCTGGGGAGGATGGAGGGGCCACCCCGGAGGCACAAGTCCTCACAGCAGGGAGGGTAAAGGGGAGAAGCCAAAGAAAGGAGGCAGTTTGAGTCTCAGGGCCCCATCCTTCTGGGAAACGGGAGTCATACTGAACTTCTCACAAAGGCCTCCCATGATGGGTGCTCTTCAGAGGAATTTCCTTCTTTTCTATTAAGTCCAGGGTCTGGAGCTGCTCCTACAACTCTGGTCTTCTTTCTACCAAAGCCAGATAACAAAGAAAATGGGGCCTCCTCCGAGACCCAAATGCTTCTTCCGCAAGGTTTGATTTGACTCAGTTGCATGGCCCCCAAGGAGAGAGAGGCAAGGCGAGTTTTTCCCATCATGTAGGTGAAAGTGCTTTGAAAGCAGTTTACAAATATAAGGTGTGATTATAATCAAAAATTAATCTATGCCAAAGGGACACATAGCACATAGGCACGGAGAAGACTCTGAGCCACATGTGTTGACAGAGGCAAGACAGCCAAGCATCCCCCCTCCACCTCACTTCCCCCACTATGCCTCCTCCTCCTGTAGCTGAGGGCATTGGGCAAAGACTGCCTTCCCCCTCCTGATGCCCAGCCCCTGGAAAGGCGAGGACATCTGTCCCAGGCCAGCTCAGAAAGAAGCAAAGGCATTTTAAGCTGCCTCTGTAATTGCCCCAAGTAAATCCAGCCCCAACCCCTCCCCCTGCCTTTCATCATCAGTGGTGCCTGGCCTGGCCTAGCCCCTCATTCCCGACACTTCTATTCATTGCTCCTCTGACTGAAGCTCTCCCACGCCACCCCCTCTACCCCTTCACCTGCTTTTCCAGGCATTAAAGAGCCAAGATGGGGAACTGTATTAGCCAGGGTTCTCCAGAGAAACAGAACCAATAGGATATGTTTACATAGAGAAAGATTTATTTGAAGGAATTGGCTCATGCAATTATGGAGGACTTAATTAATAATAGACTAGGAGGAGTCTGTTTGGGCTGCCGTAACAGAATACCATAGACTGGCTGGCTTGTAAACAACAGAAATTTATTTCTCACAGCTCTGGAGGCTGAAAAGTCCAAGATCAAGGTGTTGGCAGACTCAGTGTCTGGCGAGAGCCCACTTTCTGGTTCATAGATGGCCGTCCTCTTGCTGGGACCATACATGGCAGAAAGAGGGCAAGGGAGCTCTCTGGGGTCCTTTTCATAAGGGTACTAATCCCATTCATGAGGGCTCCACCCTCATGACCTGATCACCTTCCAAAGGTCCCCACCTCCAAATGCCATCACATTGGGGGTTAGGATTCAACATGTGAATTCTGGGGGGGACGCAAACATTCAGTGTCTAGCGTGGAGGCTGGCATGTCCAAAATCTACAGGGTAGGCCAGCAGGCTGGAGACCCAGGGAAGAGCCACGTTGCAGTTCAAGTCCAAAGGCAGCTGCTGCAGAATTCCCTCTTGCTCAGGGGAGGTCAGTCTTTTGTTCCACCCAGGCCTTCACCTAATTAGATGAGGTCCACCTACATTATGGAGGGCAATTCGCTTTACTCAAAGCCCATCCATTTAAATATTAATGTCATCCAAAAATACCCTCATGGAAACATCCAGAATAATTTCTGACCACCTATCTGGGCACTGTGGCCCAGACAAGTTCACACATAAAACTAACCATTGTAAGAGCCAAAGTGAAGGACACAGAACTTGCCTTTCTTTCAGTCTGTTGGAATCTAGGGAAGGAAAGATATCCCAGGCAGGAGTTAGGGACTGCGCTGGGGCAGGTGGGCCTTGGGAGTTTTCAAAGCCCAGTGCCAGGGGCTCCCTGCTCTGCTATATGTGAGGCTGTCCTCACCAAGCTGATGCCCCTTTCCACCCACAGGTATCGGGTAAGCTGATGCCCCTTTCCACGCACAGGTATCGGGTATAGGTACCCCCTTACACCACCAAACTCTTCGACCGACATATCATAAGAGCCTGCCCTGGGGCAAGCTCTGTGCCAGGCACAGAGGGACCAACGTGACTAGGAGTTCCTCATTGCTTCGCACAGTAGCAGGAGGCTGGACACTTGTCTCTCTGAGCCAAGGGACTCTTTGTTTCCTCCCTTCACTCCCCAGAGGAAGTAACTGATGCCATTCTGTTCTACTGCACAGAAGACTCTGCAGCTCAGAGAGGCACAGAGCCTGGGCCCTGGTCACACAGCAGGGAGGTGGAGAGAACATCCATTCCCTTTCCACGCAGGCTCCTCCACAGGCCGTGACCTCCAGAGATTCCTCTGGTTTAAAGCAAATACCCCATCAATAGCCCCAGAACTATGCCACCCCTTCTGTCTGAAAGGGTATATTTTTTCAAATAAGTAATTCCTGTATGCAATAAAAAGATACACTATCTTCTGAGTGAAATACAAAGAGTTCACAGCAGCTGTGCCCCAGTTTGCATTTTCCACTGCACCTGATGGGAAGGACAGATAAAGATAATGGGATTTTTTTTCTTTTTTATTTCACCTCCCTCTCTCCCTGGAAGGCGGAAGTGTAACAAATTGGACTGTGAGTGTGTCTGTCCTTTGTGCTTGGAGCCTGGAGCAGGGCATGGGGCTGCGGGCAGAGCTTCCGAGGGAGGTCAGAGCCAGCAGTTTTCCCTAGATGCCTTGCATATGAATACCTGGGTCACCTTTCCTACCTAGGTCACCTTTCTTCCTTCCCACCGCCCACCCCCTGCCTCTTGAACTCTTCTTTGACACAGCACGGGCGTGGCACACCACCCTGGAGCGCCACCAGAGCCTCCTCCGCATTATTCCATATTCAAGAACATCCGCTAAGCTCTAGCTTACCTCTCTTAAATCGAGTAGCAGAGCACAGTCTGCTTTTCCCTTTAGCTCTCCGGACTTCCCTGAATAGCGACAACTAGCCAGTGCACAGCTCTTCACAGTTTACAACGACCGAAGGCTTTGAAAGCAGACAGTACCGTTCAATTTAGGAATTTCTTCTTTTAAGCACCACGTTTCCTACTTCGATTATTTTGTATTTTAGAACTTGCTCTCACCATAAAATTATATTTTAATTTTTATTTTTTTAGAAGTTTATTAATTTATTTTTTCTGTGTTGGGTCTTCGTTTCTGTGCGAGGGCTTTCTCTAGTTGTGGCAAGCGGGGGCCACTCTTCATCGCGGTGCGCGGGCCTCTCACTATCGCGGCCTCTCTTGTTGCGGAGCACAGGCTCCAGACGCACAGGCTTAGTAATTGTGGCTCACGGGCCTAGTTGCTCCGCGGCATGTGGGATCCTCCCAGACCAGGGCTCGAACCCGTGTCCCCTGCATTAGCAGGCAGATTCTCAACCACTGCGCCACCAGGGAAGCCCTATACCTTTTTAAAATAAACCATATTTAGGTGGTCCCCCCTCCCATTCCTGAGTCAGTTTCCCGACTGTTTGCAGTGACACTGATTCTGTCCCAGCTCTTTTCTGATGCCGCTCCCGCACTTCGGAGCGGCAGGTTGCCAAGGGTGTCTGGGCTGTCTGTCTCCTTGGGGCTCACCTGCCGACAGGTGTGCGGCGGTAGAGTCGTGTCTCTTCCTCCAGCCTTCTGCTCGGGACCCTGGTTTGGGAGGTCAAGAGGACCCTGTGCAGGCTGGTGAGACTCTGTTCAGCGCCCCATGGGGAGGAATGGTGGCCCGGGGTGAGAGGGCAGACAGCTGTCTCTGAAATTGGTTCCTTGTGGATCAGCGGGGTTGACTCGGCCAGTTCTAAGCAGCCTGGTGGGCGCCTCCTTCCCCCCTCATCCCTCCAGGTCAGTCCCTCCTAAAGCTTCCTTTGATGGGTCTGAGGAGAGGTGGACTGGACTGGGGGCGGGGCGGGCAGGCCTTAAGTGTCCTCAGCCTGGGGTGAGATGCTATACTTGTGTGTGTGTGTGTGTGTGTGTGTGTGTGTGCATACGTGTGTGTTCGCACACGTGTGTGCCTGTGCACCCACCTGCATATGCACACGCCACAAGGGTCAGAGCTGGTGAGGCGCCATGCTCCCCAGGGAGCTCAGAGTATGCATTTGAGGGGAGGCAGCTACCCGCCAGCATCCCAGTGTGGCCATCACGTCCCTTCCTCCATGCTCCCGACACTGGGTGGCTCACGCGCGTCGTTGGCACCGCGCTTCAGAGCTCCGAGTTGTGATGACCTCCAGGTCTGTCTTCCCAACCTGTTTCTTTAATTTCCCAGTCGTAAAATCGGAAGAATGAGTGATAATCACTTCAGAGAGCTTTCACTTCGGGCAGTGGACGTGCCCAGTTGAGGTTCTGGAGTTCAGCTCTTCCTTTGTCCCAGGTTCTAACAGCGCGGCTCACACTTCACCTCTCACTGTCTGCCCACCGTGGAGCAGCAGCACACAGGTAGAAAAGCCTTTCACCGCTTGGAAAATAAGCCATTACTCGCTCACTTACTCTTTCCCTTCTTTCGTCTATTCACTCTTTCACTGATGTATTATTCATGTAGTAAATACTCATCACGTACTTACTGTGTCCCAGGTGCTGGGCTAGCCCTGCTGGTAGGCATCTGGCAGCATCATTTTTGTACTCCTAAGGACAAGCCATCATTCCTTGACTGCCCTGGGGGGAGCATGGCCACACTCGGTCCTGGTTTTTTCGGCTGGGGACAGAGATGGCAGACCGACCTTCATCTGCTTACATCATTACTGGACATGATTCAGAGTCAGGGCTGCTCAGTAGGGCTGCACAGGCTGCGCACTGCACAATTTCAGGCCAGTTGTGGAACAAGGAAGTCCTGTCTCTCGCTCCCGAATTGGTCACCAGCTGTCACTGCTCAGTCCCCCAGGCTGTGTGGCTTGCTCAGATCCCCCTGAGAGGTGCTACAATGCCATCAGCAAGGGTGCCAGTGCGGCTGATAAACCAGAAAGCCCCCACGGCCTCTGCAGTGAAGGAGACTCCTCTTCCCTTGCGTCCGGCCGGTAGACTTTGTGTCCAGAGCTCGGCCCCAGCTCCTCCTCTGGCCCCCAGGTGGGGAATGCAGAACACTGCCTGCCTCCTGTACCCTCACCCATGCAGCCTCTGACTTACTGGCCCTGGCACTATTCACCAGGGAAGCGGGGAGACCCACGAGGCTTTATCTTTCAGGACCCACTGTGCGACTGGGACAAAACATGCCACTGCCACATCCTTGGCCCCGGCTGGTCTTCACCGGAGTCCCTCTGTACCACATAATTCGCCCTCTCACCAGCTGGGAGACATTCTGCTTATTTTCCCCTAGCCACTCAGAAAACATGCACCCATACCAACCTGCATAAAATTTAAAACAAAAACAAACAACATGTCAACAACAAACAGAATGCTGCTGACCACTTGCCCTCGTGAGGCATCTCCCCTTTCCTCTACCACCTTACCTGCCCCGAGGCCCTCACCTCCATGATCATTCCAGCTGTGCCATCAACAGCACTAAATGATGGGCAATCCCCAGAGACCTCTCAAGGCTCTTCCGCTCCGGCGAACACGCGTGGCATCCTCGTGTTTTCATTCCTGGGACAGCCTGACGCTACAAGAAGCTCTAAACAGGCAGCAGACAAGCCCAGGAGCCGGAGGCAGGGACTTGGATATTAGGAGCATCTCTGTTCCCCCTAAGGGCAGGCAGCTCCCTTCCTGGGTCTGATTTTCATCTGTAGCACTGGTCATGCCAAGTGCACAAGGCAGGAAGGAATCAGTCCTGGACCCCCAGCTCAGCCTTGACAGGAGGGGAACAGAGGGAGGGAGGACAATATGTGTGTCTGCGAGCTGTAGGAAAAATCCAAGGCAGGGGTTAGACAAGGACTGCGGGTAACTCACTCCAGCCCCCAACCACATGCTGCAAAACCCGGTGCTCTTGCCTGTTTCAGAATTTCAGCATCTGTGAGGCATTGAATGGGGTAGTGGCTGCCTGGAAACCAGATTCCTGGCTTCCTGGCAGGAACACATGCTGTATTTGAATTGAAAAGGCCATTTTTCCTTTCTGGTGTGTGCGTGTGAACGTGTGTGCAGGTGTAGATGTGTACGTGCCCGTGCACGAGAGCTGGCCTGTGTCTGGCATGCACCTGGGTCTCCATGTGCAAACAGTTCAGGACTGGAATGTACGTGCCTCCATCTCCATGTGATTTGTACCACGTGTGGCGATGATGATTTGGTAGATGAGAAACAGTCTCCTGTTTTCCCATGTGGGATCTGTCAACAAGCCCGTGTGTTATAGGTGTCTGGGCCTATGAGGAGAACATGGGATGTAAGCGTATACCTATGGCATCAGATAATTAGGTGTTGGATCCATCACCAAGAGGCTGTTATCCCCATCAGCTTTGTGGGGACGAGGCTGTTCTTGGGCATGAGAATAGGTTTTGCTGGTCCCTCTATACACTTTTACTCAGTCTCCCAGCCAAGGGTGGCCCACCTGCCAGCTTTCGGGTACGGGATGCACCCCTAGAACAGGAACAGGGTGCACAGTGACCGAATTTGCAGCCTTGGTCTCATTAGCTCCAAGACCTTACAATCAAGCAAAGAGTACATGACGGTGATGACACCGCCTTGCATTTGCTTAGTACTTTAAGTGCCTTCACCTGCCTTTTTCATTCAGCTAATAAGCAAAGACTTCTTGCAGATGTGGCCACCGTAAGGTCGGATCTTAACAAACGGCACCGCGAAACAGAGGAAAGCTTCAAGTGAGCTTTATTAGGGAGCGCTCCGGGGCGAGGTTCACTGGTCCGAGAGAAAGGGGCCAGAGAAGTCGCACCCGGGCAAGGGTTGGGCAAGATTTTATAGGGGAAGAAGGGAAAGGGGTGTGGTGAATCTGGGAGGGCGCAGGGTATTCCTTATTTGGTGGTCTTTTCGGGTATCCTGGGGGACCGTTGTTCCCGCCCCTCGAACCCCCCCTGGGCCGGGTTCAAAGTCCCCAGGTCAGTTCCTGGAACTGGGTGGTCCGGAATGTCTCCAGGGCAGTTTCTGGAACTGGGTGGTCCAGAGAACTTCGGTCTGATGCAACCTGTGAATCTGATTGTGTTCCCCTGCCTCGGGCCAGTTGGCCTTACAGCCACTGCTGGGAACAGGTGGGCCACGGGGGTGACGTTATTCCTACTTCTGTCACGTAGTTTGTTGGATGAGAACCAGAACTGGAATTCAGGGCCCCCCCCCACCCATGCTGAGAGCTTCTGCACCCCTCCTCTGGGAGTGTCTACTAGCACCTGTCTGTCCGCGGATGCACCCCTGAGAAGGTGCCATGTACGTGCCTGCACAGGGGTCCTCAGGGTCCCATGGGAGGCCCTGAGGACCTCCCTGAGATGCGACTGCTCTCCCTACAGAATGGCGACAAGGAAGCGGGGCGAGGATGATCCTGCAGGATGAAGACATCACCACCAAGATTGAGAACGACTGGAAGAGACTGAACACCCTGGCGCATTACCAGGTGAGGTGACCGTGGAGTGGAGAGGGGCTAGCAAACTGGGCAGCCAGGTCCCTGGGAGTCTCAGGCCTTGAATAGCAGGGCTGCCCTGAGGCTCTTACCAAGCCCTAAATCCACTTCTTCACCAGCACTGCATGTGCCCTTAGTGACCCAGGGAAAATGTGGCCCCCAGCCAGGAAACCCTGACCTCCTTGGAGATAGGTTGCCAGGTGCATGCTTCCCACAGGGCATAGGCACAGACCCTGTGGTACCCGGAGTTTAAGGCTGGGTGCTCCCCCAGGGAAGCATCAAGACAGAGGGTGCTGGTGAGAAGCTCTTGCCAGAGTTGCTCCAAGAGTGAACCCCAACATAGACTACGATTCTGTATTCAGATCTGTCGTGCTGCGTCAAAGGAAAGCTGACAGCCTCCTTGGTCCCCTGGTTCTCGGTGAGGCACTGATTGCCCCTGAGGACCACGTTCATCCTGGCTTGTCCTGACTTCCTGGGGTGGCAGAGTTTCTGTGCCCAGGCCCTCACCTGCCTTTTCCCGGTAGGTGCCGGATGGTTCTGTGGTGGCTTTAGTGTCCAAGCAGGTGACAGCCTACAATGCAGTGAACAACTCCACCGTCTCCAGGACCTCGGCAAGTAAATACGGTGAGTTCACTGAACCATTCTGGGGAGGAGAGGATGCCCTGAGCAGCTGTTGTCATTGCTGGCAGCACTGCTGGAAGGCAGCAGACGCCCGGGATGGGGCACGGGGGTGGGGAGTGGGTGGGGGGAGTCAGGCAGGCTGGCCACCAGAGAGGAACTCTGGCCTGGAAAGGAGGCTTCTGGTTCCGGGCAGGGGCTCTGATGCAGGCGCAGGACCTTCATCCTCAAAAACAAGAAGAAAGTCTAACCTTCCTGAGCATCCTACAGTCTCTAAGATGCTTTCACACTCGTGATAACTCTTTATCAAACGTCAGGTTCATAATAATCAGTGAATTAAATAATTATTATTTCCCCCTCTTATGCAGATTAGCAAATTATAACTCAGATGCACAGAGGCTAGATGACGTGTAAAGGTCACACGCTATGAAGCAGTGGAGGGAAGGTACAGACCCTGGTCTCTGCTCCTCGGGGTGGGGAAAAGGGCACAGGATGTGGGCTGGAAGCCTGGAGTGCCTTCTTACCAGCAAAAACAGGGATTGCAAAAACTACCAAATTCACGGGATGGTTCTGGAAAATATATATAAGACAACATAGAACGGTGCCCGCACACAGTGGGGCTTGCCTCTTCTTTTCCTGCTCAACACTCATCTCACCACACCTCACATTTCAGCAATTAAGTGGGAGGAACTGGTCCAGGCGAGAGGGGCGGATGAAGGTACACAAGTGACAGGGCGATCACTAAGCTGGTCAGCCGTCGTTTGGGGAGACAGGATCCCTGCTCTTTCATTGGTACCCAACTGGCTGCACAGAGCACACCCTGAGACTTGAGAGCTCTCATGAGGAAAGCGTAAAAAAGGACAAGCTTCTATTTTTACAAATTGAGTAACAAGGGCTGGAGATGCAAGTGCAGGAGGGAGGGGAATCCGAGTGGGTGGAGGAGCCACAGAGAGTTTCCGGAGGTGGTGGGAGAACGCCCCAGATTCAGGAATGGACAGAAGCGAGGCAAGGTGACAGCGCCTGCAAATGCAGGAAGGATCGGAGTTGGCCTTGGGTGGAGCCGAGGTGTGTCGTGAGTGATGGGCCGGAAGGCTGGGTGGCCTTACCCGCGTGGGGCCCTTGCATTGGCAGAAAACATGATCCGGTACACGGGCAGCCCTGACAGCCTCCGCTCACGCACACCCATGATCACCCCTGACCTGGAGAGTGGCGTCAAGATGTGGCACCTGGTGAAGAACCACGAGCACGGGGACCAGAAGGAGGGTGACCGGGGGAGCAAGATGGTGTCTGAAATCTATCTGACACGACTGCTGGCCACTAAGGTATGGGACTTCAGACAGGTTGCGGGGCACCTGTGGGTTATGGGATGGGACTGCCTCACCTCACAGAAATGCCAGAGCTGGCAAATCCCTAGCATCTCTGCTGGTGCCCCCTCTCTCATCCATTCACGCACGCGCTGCTGGTCAGTGCCGGTCTCTTTCCCAGCACAGAGCCTCAGAATCCTTCTCAACCCAGTGCTGCAGCCAACCCCACCCATACATCCATGCTGGCATGCCGTCAGAAGTTTTGATTCCGTCCCTTCTCTTGCCCTCGCTCAAATAGAGAGACACTAATCACGTGTATTCATAGTCTTCTGCCACGCCTAACGGAAGAATGACTACTTCTCTGGGGTGTCGTGATGGGAACTGGGGCTCCATCAGTGACTTTCCAGGCACCATTTCTAATCCTGGTTCACGGATCCAGTATGGGTAGGGTTGGCTGCAGCAGTGGGTTGAGAATCTGAGGCTCTGTGCTGGGAAAGAGACTGGCACTGACCAGCAGCATGCGCGTGAGTGGATGAGAGAGGGGGCACCAGCAGAGATGCTAGGGATTTGCCAGCTGTGGCATTTCTCTGAGGTGACGCAGTCCCATCCCAGTTAGTCCCTCACTCCCGAGACTGGCCTCGGCTCTGCTCTCTGCAGAGGCAAATGAGTAACTGTGCATTAGCCGGCGTGAATAACGCCTAAACAGAACCAGCAGATTGTGTTTGTCTGCTCTGACCGAGTGAGCTGTTCATTAGCATTTGTGAAAAGTGCTAAAATAACACCATCAAAGGGTGTTAAACCAAACCGAGTTGTTGGCAGAGGAAGGCTTCCTTAGGTCCAGTTATCGGTGTTATATCTATTTTCTACGTGCCGGGGAAATGTAAAGCTGCTCGAGACAGATGCAGGCAGGCAGGGGGAGGGTGCAGATTTCACATATGCACTTGCAGGATTTCACCCAAGCAGGCGTGGCTGTGCGCTGTCCTCCCTTCCGCCCGCCATCTGGGAGGCCAGTCGATCTCAAAACCCAGCCTCAGGGCTTCCCTGGTGGCGCAGTGGTTGAGAGTCCGCCTGCCGATGCAGGGGACATGGGTTCATGCCCCGGTCCGGGAGGATCCCACATGCCGCGGAGCGGCTAGGCCCATGAGCCATGGCCACTGAGCCTGCGCGTCCGGAGCCTGTGCTCCACAATGGGAGAGGCCACAACAGTGAGAGGCCTGCGTACCGCAAAAAAAAAACAAAAACAAAGCCTCAGAGCTCACGGGGCAGGCGAGCTGTGTCTGAACCTGCGCCCTTCTCTGCAGGGCACACTGCAGAAGTTTGTGGACGACCTCTTCGAGACCATCTTCAGCACGGCGCACCGCGGCTCCGCCCTGCCCCTGGCGATCAAGTACATGTTTGACTTTCTGGATGAGCAGGCAGACAAACACGGCATCCACGACCCGCACGTCCGCCACACCTGGAAGAGCAACTGGTGAGTGAGGGGCGAGCAGAGGATGAATCAGGAGAGGCCAGCCCGGAGTCCATGAGCTCAGGCGGGCCTCAGGCCTTGCAGAGGGGGAGAGGGGCTGGGGTCCACCTCCCCAGCAGGGACTCTAAGCAGGCGCTCTCCTGGGGCCTTCACCTCCTCCCCGATTATTTTGTGTGCCCACTTCCCTTCCCTCTAGTCAAATCATCCTTCTTTCCTATCAATCAGTCAGTAACCATTTAACCAACTAAATGAGCAAAAATGGACATGCCAGATGTGGCAGCCAGGTGGCTCTCACATCCAGGTCCCTCCCCTGTGCCTGACACTATGTTAGACCCTGAGGCTTCTGCCCTCCGTGGGCTGACAGTCACGGGTAAGAGACAGGAGGGCAGCTGTTCGGACAGAGAGGCACATGCGACAGGAGGGGATGCATGTGTGCAGCTAGCTGGATTGTAGAGGGGCAGCATCTCACAGCGACTCTTAAGTGGAGCCTGAAGCACGTCTAGGAGTGACCTAGGTGAACGAGGAGAGTTTCCATTCTATTCAAGAAGTGGTCTTCCCTTTCCACAAACCCCCTTCCCAAACTCCCTTTGGGGAAGGGACCGTCCCATAACTACTGTGTCTTTGAGACAAGGGGATCCTCTAAGTCCTAAATGACCCTCTAGGTGTCTCACCGTGGTCCCCTCTCTCCTTTAGCATATATATCATCCTTTCCCTTCATTTGTGTGTCAGTTGTGTTTTTGTCTGAGACTGCAAGGTCAGACATCAGTATTCAGCTCTTGTGATGGAACCTTGCAGAAAGCTGGGACTCAATAAATATTGATGAAGATGCAGGGCCAAGACGGTCTCTTCTTGAGAGTTCTACCTGGGATAAAGCTGCCTTATATTTGGCCCCTTCAGTTCCAGAATCCCTTCCCAGTAGTTTTACACGGTCCCTGTCCTGGGGTGCTCTTCCCTAGAACATTCTCGCAAAGCAGCACGAGCCTGCTGCCCAGCACCCACCAACTGCTAGGAGTGACATGATACTAGGGCTCAGCCAGGTGTCCTGACAACCAGCCCCAAGGCCCAAACCAAAACCTAGATTTAGGCAGGAGTCAGCCTGTGGCACTGAAACGTTATTTAATGTAGGATGCTCTGGCTCCTCCTCTCCTTCACCTGAAGCATAGCGCATCGCTACTAAAATTGGGAAATCAGGCAGGTACAGAGCTTTGGGCCATAGAGCTGAAGAGTAGGGTTTGCTCCCACAGTAGTTCTGGGTGAGAGAGGATCTTGCACCGTGGAGCTCTTGCAAATCTCTCTGAAATAAGACTCTTAGACTCTGGATTCCCCATCTAGCACAGCACACTGGGTGAGGGCTGTTCTCTCCTCTGAAAGGCCTGCAGGTCTTGTCCCTCCCAGTGCCTGCCTCTAGGTAAGATTGCATTGCATTCTGCCCATCTTTTTAGCATGACTCTGCAGAGCTGTTCCAAGGGCATGCCCCTGATCTACCCAGTCTGCTTCTCTCTGCCACCAGGTCTTCCTACTTACCACCCCAGTTAAATGTCTGCAGCCTTCAGAATTCAAGGAGTGCCCTGCCCAGACCTTATCCAGGTGCTGGGAGAGCTGGTATTTCCAAAACATCCCCCCTTGTTCTTGTAGCCCTTTACAAGTACATCCCCCTGAAATGGTATCGAAACCATTTGTTTTCGGCTCATACCTCCCGCTGGGGTAAGGTAAGGGCACCTCCAACGATGAGATGCCATAAAGTTCTTGGAGGGAGGGCAGAACCTTCCTTCCTGCCCACTCTTCCAAGTGCCAGGTGTTACCGCAACAAGCTCCAGTGTCAGGGAAGGAAAGCCCAGGCAGTAGACAGCGGTACCAGCCCTCACCAGAGGACACACTCCCCTGACCCTGATCGTGGCCGCCTGGGCAAGACGAAGTTAGTCCAGGAATTATGAAGTCTGCATATTGACTTAAGAGTTAGTTGTCCCTGATTGAAAAGAAAGAGATTGTTTCTTTATTCCTAGCCAAAGTTGTTAGCTCACCCTCTCCCCTACTACCTTCCTCCACATTCCCCTGCCTTTTCTCTTTTAAATAAACCTCCTACTCATTTAGCCTGAGTGGCTGCAATCAACCAGAGATTAGTGCCACCGCTAATGTTAATAATATGCAAAAACTTCATTAGGCAGGAGCTGCTGTGGTTTCCCTGTTCGATTTGCCTGTCAGCACAACTGGCTGAAGGAAGGGGAATGTTGGGGGGAAACAACCATGCAGCAAATATGGGCTCCCAGAGTCCCTTTCCAGGTGGGACTTCCGGAAACGGGAAGATGTAGACCGGAGATTTCATCAGCTGGGCAGCCGGGAGTCCTTCATCCGGGGCTCTGAGCCCAGCTCTCATGGTCTCCCCTGGGCAGTTGCAGTGACCCTGACTTTCCCCTGAGTGTCAGAACTTTCTGTACCGTCCCTTTATTTCCTCTTCTGGATTTCCCAGGATGAAACAAGTACATCTTACCATTGTTAGACCTCGGTGCTGCCTGCACGGCACACTTTGTGGGAACGTAATAAATACTTGTTGACTGACTGGCAGTCTTGAATATGAGGCCCTACCGTATTTTAGCCTTTGTTGTATGTACGTGCTGGCTGCTGGGAGATACAACAAATATAGAAATCTTGTTCTTGCTGGATTGAAATCATGTAATTCAAAAGAGTTTAAGTTGTAAGAGGCAAGCCAAACACACGCAAACATTGTAACTATTATTACCAACCTTGAGGACAGCAACCAAGCCACAGTAAAGCATCAGGGCACATAGCAGGAGGTGGCGGTGCGCAGGCAGAGGGAGGGAGATGCACGGTCCCTTGCTGGGTGCCACCCCGTTTCCTGACCTGCGTCTCCACAGGCTGGATGGAAGCCACGGGATCTGAGAGCCAGCAGAGTATAGTCAAAAGGGGCAGGCGGGCAGGCTTTGCCCGCTGCCTCGGGACCCTTTCTAGCAACAGACAGGTGGCTCCGTTAGCAGACGGCGCTGCAGGTTTCATCTCCGCTTTGTCTTTGGCTCACTCCCCTTCGGCAGTACCTTCCTCTCCTCTTCCTTCAGCTTTTCATCTGCATCTCTAATACTGAGACCATTAAGTGTCCTCCTCTCTGGGAAGACTTTCCAGATAACGCCCCTCTGGGTAGACTTGCTCACACCTCCCTGGCTCCCACACTGGACCCCACCCATCCTTCAGGTCCAACACCCAAAGTTCGTGATTGCACATCTGACATCACCACGAGCCCAGTGGTATGCAGACTTCTGCAGGACAGGGGATGGGTCTTATTCACACTGGACCCCCAGTTGCTAGCATAGCTCCTGGTATACAGCAGGTGCTAACTGGAAGAAAGTGAGGGGAAGGAGGGAACACAACGGGGCAGGTGAGGGGCCGGGAGTGGGGTCTGTTCAGCCTGCCCGCTTAGGGATGGGAATCAGTTAGCTCCACTTGAACTGTTCAGTGCCAGGGCTCTCACCATGTAGGAATAAGCCCATACGACCAGGCAGGAAGGGCGTGGCTTCTTCCAGTCATATAGTAGAGGGCAGAGAATAAGACACAAAGCCCAGGTTCCAGGCTATTTAAGGTTTGCCAACCAGACATGCCTTGTATCTGTGGCATAGGGGGCAGACAGTGGAATAGAGAGTCAGAAATTCCATTTTCTAGTACCTGTCATGGCTGCCTCGGACCCCAAAGCCTTGTGTTCTCAGGGCAGATGGTGAGTCCTGTGGTCCAGGCTGGGTGTCGAGCCCTCCAGTGCCCATCAACGCCGTGTCTCTGAACAGATTGTTCAACCTTGCTGATCTCCACGTCCCCGGAAAGTGAACTGATGACATAGAGAAGGCCCCTCAGAACCCTTGCTTCCCAGCCTTTTCTCTTTCTCCAGGGAACTCTCTAGGTCAATGTACAGTGCCCCCTGCCCCCCAGCTCCCTTGACCATCTGCCTCTTCCCCCCACACAGCCTGCCCCTGAGGTTTTGGGTCAACATGATCAAGAACCCCCAGTTTGTGTTTGACATCCACAAGAGCAGCATCACTGACGCCTGCCTGTCGGTGGTGGCCCAGACCTTCATGGACTCCTGTTCCACGTCGGAGCACCGGCTGGGCAAGGACTCCCCCTCCAACAAGCTGCTCTACGCCAAGGACATCCCTAGCTACAAGAACTGGGTGGAGAGGTGAGTGCTGGGCCGGGGAGCCCAGGTAGGCCCTGGGCCGCAGCAGGCAACTTCCTTGGTGGATGTGGGACCCCTTCCTTCCCCTCCACAATGGGCAGGGCTTGCAGACTGGTCCCGCACGAAGCCCCAGCCTGCAGTGGTGACACCCACAGTCCACGGACCCAGTACTGTCAGCTGAAACAAGAATGGGACATGGCTAGAAGTTGCCACTGCGCTCTGCTCCCCTGCATGGAGGGCCCAGCTCTTTCTAGGCCCAGGAAGGAAATAGAGTTTCCTGCTCTGATGCCCACTAAAAAACGAAAAAAAAAAAAAAGAAAGACTCCAAGGGACCAAACAGCATCCTGCCACAGGCGGGCTGGAGGCCTGTCCCCATCTGCCCCTGTCCATCTGGCAGTTCTTCCAGTGTCCTGTGGGGACGTCCTTGTCACACCGAACAGCTTCGCACAGTCCCAGTCCCCTGACTCTCAGCACGATGAGCTCTTGATGCCCGGGCCCTTACGGTGCCTTCCCAGCCATAGTGGCCCTAACCTAATCCAGTCTCAGCCATGCACCTGTGATGGGAGGGCCACCTGTGCGCTGTGCAGCTGGGTTCCTCTGGGTACAAAGCTAACTCACGGTAAAGAACATTCATGGCTTCTCTGGGCTGTATCAGCTCCATATGCCAAGCACCTGAGCTAAACAACCAGCTGAAAGTCTATTTATTTATTCATCACAGTAGCTCCGGAATATAAGAGGACAGGCTTTATAAGCTCATTTTGTGCCCATGAAGGTGAAGAACTATACATACAGAGTGGTTGAGTAATCCGTCCAAGATGACTTAAGTGGCCAAGAGAAAAGCAGATCCCCAAATTCAGCTGACTCCCAAAGCTCTTTTCTACAGTTTATGATACTTTTAGACAGGGCTTTTGCCAACCCATATGGTGTCTGTGTGAATTAAGGCAGGTGCCCCTTCCTACCAGACGATGTGGCCCCATGCCAGGATGCCTGGTTTGTTGAGTGACAGGCTAGCCGTCAGTCCTAGCTCACCCTCTCAACCAAGCACCTTTGTGCAGTGAACAACCTGCACACCTCTACATGGCGGTCTTGATTTTAGAGTCCCTCTCTCTTCTAAGTAGCTGAAAGATAGGAAACCTGCATGGAAACTCAGATTTGGTGCTTTTTTGAAGAGACAGAGACCAGAAATTGTTCTTGACTGAGACAAAATGAACAATATTGTTTCACCCATGGAAGAGAGACAGTCTCCATCTTTATAGTTGAAAATTGCCTTCCCTTTTTACAGAGAGAATAACCGAGAGTGGGGTGGGATCCTGGCCACCCCAGTAACATGGTTCTGCTGGAAGAATTGCATTTTGTTTTCCCCCTCCCTCTGTTCTTTGATATCTCCCCCACCCCTTCCTGCTGGTACATGTGGTGGGCTTCCAGCCTCGGCTGTCAGAGAGACAGCTCACTCTTTTGTCCTCGTATCTGATTATGTCTGAGTTACCAAAGAGGCTCTTACCTCCCCCTGCGTCGACAGTGGCTCATTCTTCTGACAACAGAGCCGCCAAGAGGAGCAAGCTCTCCTGTGTGGTCAGCTGGCTCTTCAGCAAAGAGAGAGAAGAAAGAGGCAGCAGCTGGGCTCTGGTCATCCCTGTCCCGGTGCAGTGTCACTGCAATGGGACCTCGGGCAGGGAGGGAGAAAGCCGGGATGTGAAGGGCTGGGAGCATTTATGAAACAACTGTGTAGAGGATACTTCCCCAGAATGGCCCGGTTAGTCAGAGGTGAGAATAACGCACATGCCGGGCTAATGGTCTCCCTTTCACTTGGTGCTAGATGAGATTTGTGCCACACAGCTGCTATAGCCCACAAGTAACCCCAGTCCATTTGGTTATTTTTAGGAGTGCCTTGATGGTCTCCACTTCTTATCCCGCCCGTTTCTTAACAACCAAAGGCACTCTCAGGAAAGTCATCTCTCACTTGCTTGGGGTCCCAAATCATTTCTCCTCCCCTTCTGGGATGAGGGTACAAAGACAGAGCGGTTGGGAAATAGCACAGCTAGGTCTGGAGATCAAGCCTAGAGTGCTTCTTCCCTCGGTGGTGAGGGGATCAGTTCCAGTCTCCCTTCCCGAGGAGGCTGGCCTCTGAGCTTGTCTGCTGATGGGAAATGGAAGGCCAGCAGCACAGAGCTTGCTCAGGACCCACAGCCAGCCTGCTCGCCCACCTTGGCCTGCCGAGGGCACGGGCAGCCTCCAGTTCAGAAGAACGATGGTAGAAGGCCCTTTTCTTGTGGCCAGGGCTTGCCCACTTCTGATTTCCATGTTCGGTTGCTGTGAGCTTGCAGACAGCGCACACAGGGCCCAGGCTCACTGCCTCGGTGCCGTAGAGCGTGCCCTGCGCACATCTGGGGGAGGGCCTGCTGTCCTCACAGCTGAGAAACAGGGTTTATCCTGGTGGCCCTCTCTATAGGGGGGTGGGAAGCATACGGCTTCAGGAGTCCTCACTAACTCTGTTGGTTGAGCAGCCCAAGTCACTCTAGCATACCTAAGCAGGCTTTACCTCCTCGAAGTTCTTCATCTACCCATCCCCCCACCATCCCCTCCCATTCTCCCACTCATCCTCCCACCCCACATCCCTCCCATCCTTCTGCTTGTCCTCTCATCCATCCTCCATCCCATTCCCGCCTCCACATACCTTGCAATGCTTGTGGTTGGTGGCCTCACTGCAGACTCCCAGTCTTTGCTGCCTCCGTTCCAAGTATTAGGGGTTTTGCTTACGGCCACATCTAGTGAAAGGGAGAAGAAGCTCTTGGTTCCGTGGTAGCAACCAACTGCTACCCTCATCTTAGCCAGCAGAACTCAACAGTGTTGTCACCAGACTGGTGTGTCACGAGCAGCAGAAATCTCTGTTTCTCTGTCAACAGCAGCACGTGTTTCACGTTAGAGTGGTTGCCTCTCACTTTAAGTTGGAGTTAACCCCGCGGCAACCGCAGCCTCCCCTACCTGCAGCCACAGGTTTTCCACGTAGCAGTGAATGGAACGGAGCCACAGATGGGCCCCTGGGAATCAGACCGGGGCTTGCCACTCGCTGGGATGCCATCTCTCACCTGTGTCACACACGAAACAGGCTAAGAATCTTGAATATTTAAAAACGCCTCCTAAAGAAGCCATCCATTCCAAATATAAAACTTGTGACAGTTCACCCTGGGAGCAATACTGGAGGTGAAGTATGGACATCTTATTAACTTACTCATTCATCCATGGGTCATTTACGGTGTCCATCGTGGGCGCACTGGACGCTCGGGATGGATTAGACTTGATCCTTCCCTTGTGGCCCTCATCATGGTCAAGGAGGACACACAGACAGGCCCTCAGCAAGCCCCATCAGCTGTGGGGACTCAGGGAGCAACGTCCTGATTCTGCTGGGCCTGGGGAGGTCAGTGAATGAACACAGAGGAAAAGACTTTTATGCAGGAGCTTGAAAAGTAAGTATCTATACATCAGAGCCTTGGGCTCTAAATGTCCTTCACGTCTGTACCTTCATCCTTGAGGTGTTTGAAGGGATGAGGATACTTTGTTCTTGTCTAAGAGTCCAGGGCATTGGAGACCACCTTCTCAATCACTGGGGCCATCCTAAAGGCAGAGATGGGGTGCCCACCATCACACACTGGGTGCATCTCACAGAAGCACATGAATGTAAAACACTGCAGACTGGGCAACAGCAGAGAATCCAGCTCTCTGGGGCCCTGCAGCTCCTGAGGACCAGCATCAGGACCACAGTGGGGCTGGCATCCCACCTGGTTCCCTTCTGGAGAAGGGCTCGCCTGCAGGAGGACATCCCATGGGAGCAAGTTCAAGCACAGGAGCCCAGGCTGACCTTTCCTTTCCTCACGGCACAGCTAGCTGATAAGAGCACTCGTGTGAAGTTCATTAATGGGACATAATTGCATTCTTCACAATCAATAAGGCTGCTCAGTGGCAGAGCCCAGCGCAAAGCCCCAGCACAGCAGGCGCTCGAGAGGAAGCAGTTGTGTACACAGTGCAGCGATGCCGGAGCAGCAGGGCCACTGCCAGGCTCAAGGGGTGCTGGCGAGGGAGTGGGGCTGGGCAGAGCCCTGGAGAGGAGCAGGGAGAGGTCGAGGCAAGGGCAGCAGAGACCTGCAGGGGGGGTGGGCCCACTTAGCTCCAGGCAGGGCTTGGGGTGAGGATGGGCCGAATGTCAGCAGACCTCAAGCCCCACACTCCTCTAGGACATCAGACCACCCAGAGCCACGCAGCTCAGCCATTTAGAACTTGCTGAAGGTGAGGACATGCGGTCGATCCACTCGTAGGCTTGTGTGTGGCACCGACATGCGCTGGCCCCATCCAGCGCCCTCTGCACACAGGCAGCAGAGGAGGGGCGGGTTGCCCCGTGCAGACCTGACCTCACTATGAGCGGGAATCACGCAGAGCACGTCCAGGCCGTCTGCCCCCATGACTGCAGGTGAGGAGTTAGACCCCTGCCCTCCCACACTCCCCTCTCAACCCCACCTCACACCCTCTCCCTCTCTTTCTCACACAGACTCATTTTCTGTATATCCTCTTCGGAGCAAAGGACTGGGCTTTTAGTGCGGTAAAAGCAGGCCATTGCGAAGGGACAGAGTGCCGGGCGACTGCTGTTTCCCATGAAGACAGTGGTCCCTAACCTGGGCTCTGAGGCCCCTCACAACCATTAAGGTCGCAGTAGTAGGCCTCATGCTATTTGCAGAAAGCCTGACAGAGCCGTCCACCTACCTGTAAGGTTTCAGGAGCAAGTAACGGGAAGGGCAGGAGTCTTTGCTCCTGATGACGATCACGTCCCATCGGGATCCTGGGGTTTTCCTCGCGGTCAGTAGGTCTGGCTGTCCGTGGTGACACAGTGAAACTGTCTGGAGGAAACTCTGGGCCCAGCCATGTTGCCAGAGCTGCGTCTGGCTGCTGGCCATGACACAGAAGCGAGAGGCTCGTTTGTTCCTGTTTCCTCCCCCCATACGACCTGTGGACGTGACCCTTTGCCGGACAAATGTATTTGCTCACTAGGCATGGAGTCGCGAGGGGACGATGGCACAAATCTCCTTAGGAGTGGCGAGGTTGGGGCCACCACTGACGCCCTGGTTCTCTGCTATCAAAGGGAACATTGCATTTATTCCCTTCCAGAAATAGAGGCAATGCATCGAGTCTCTCCCTGGAACTTGAACACCTGGGATGTCATTACCTGGAACCCTGGGGACCCTAAAGATGTTTTGGGGTGGGAGTCAGGCCTGGAAGAGAGTGGGCTCTTCTGGGATGGAAAAGAGGAACCAAAATGAAACAGGACAAGGAGCTGAGGGGCCCAAGGGCTCTGGAGACGAGGGAGGGCGAGGGAAGAGAGGACCCCACACTGAAATAACATTGTGAAGAAAGGAAGTCCAAATGAGCCGGAGGCAGGACAGCCTCCATGCAGGGCTATGGCTCCAGTAGGGCGGCCAGCCCACCCCTTGCCAATCCTTGCCGGCCTGGGGATGCCCTGGCGCAAACTGACCTGTCGTTCACGCAGGCCCTTGAGCATGATGCTGGAGTAGCACACGAGTGCCACCTCTGATAGTCTGCCACCCAACTCCTGGGCACCTAGGGGCAGAGGTGAAGGTGGGCACAGGACTGAGAGATTCATGGTCAGCATGGTAAGGGATGCAGAGGGAGAGATGCAGGGCTGAGGTCCAGGGTGAGAATGAACCAGAGCCTCTGAGAATACTCCCTCCACTCACCTGATCAAGCCTTGAGTTCTGGGAACCCAAGGCCTGTCATTGTCACCTGCACCTTCCCAGGTGAGAGTGAGCGACTCTCTGAAAACTTTGTTCCCCAGCTGCCTCACTTGCCTCACCCTAGTCCCCGCCCTGGTGACTGTCCCCGCCACCCTCCTCTGTTCTAAGCTCCCAGGCTCACTCTCCCCACCAATGAAGCGGCGGGCATTCACCGTGGGCTGAGCTGGGACACCACAAGGACTCCTGGGTGTGCTGCCCCACGGCCCTGATGCTCCCCCGCCTTTGCAGGTGCCTGGTCTCTTTCCCGTAGCCCACAGCCGAAAGCACCTGTCTTGGGGGGCACCAGGGCCCTTCAGTTCCTCATTAGGAAACGACACAACTCCCCTCTAGTGGGAGAGCTGGGGGTTGCTGCATAAAATGTCAAACTTCAGAAATTAAAAATGTAAATGTTGGCATCTAATTAACCAGTTGACAGGAGTGCACAGCTGCAGGTGACAATGACTGATTGCCTTCTGCCAGCCTCTCCCCGCAAGCGGCCCCCAGCCCCACCCTTCTCCTGGCTAACCTCAGAGAGGGGGGGCATCAGGGCAGGGCAACTGCCTAGAAGAGCCTTCAGGCCCCATGGAGGGGATGTCTTGCGTCTGTGGGAGGGGGAGTTAGAAGGACACACAAGGCAGACTGGACCACTCTTCCGGGAGCCGGGAGCAAAGCCAGTGCAGGCGATAGTCGCTCCTTCCTCCTGTCCCCACCCTGTCCACCCTCTGATAGTGTCTGGGTCACCCTCCGAACCCGCTGGCCCCAGACCCGGCGCTGGGAGTTTCCATCTCTCCTCTGCCCCGCACACACGGTTCCTCACTCTCGTGCCTCGGCAGGTATTACTCGGACATCGGGAAGATGCCGGCCATCAGTGACCAGGACATGAATGCGTACCTGGCTGAGCAGTCCCGGATGCACATGAACGAGTTCAACACCATGAGCGCGCTCTCCGAGATCTTCTCCTACGTGGGCAAGTACAGCGAGGAGGTGAGCCCTGCCCTGCTCGGGGCCCGCTGGGAAGGACTGGGGCAGAGACCCAGAAATCCCTGCCCGGAGCAGCCTGTCAGACACACCCCCTCCCCCACGTCTGCTGGGGAAACTCTACCACCCAGAACTTGAGGGCTGTGCTCTAAAGACAGGGATGCTAGAAACATACCAGTCTTATCAGTTCTACATTAATCCCTGTTCTTTTCAGATATATAGATCAAGTATCTCTTTTATTTTTTTCTCTTTATTTTTTCTTTCCTGCTGTTCCCTCTCCTTGATTTTTTCCCTTTCTCTCTCTGATCTAATTATCTTTAAGCAAATAGTTCCCCACTTCCATGGGCAGGTCATAAGGAAAAGAAAAGAAAAGAAAAAAGAAAAGAATAGAATAGAATAGAATAGAATAGAATAGAATAGAATAGAATAGAAAACAAGATGATAGGGTAGGAGAGAATCAGAACAGAATAGATACAGACCAGAGCAGAATGGAGTCTATTTTTAGTTGCTGCAGTCCCTAGTTAGGAAACTTCATCTGGGGTCATTGCCCCTGCAGACACTGCCTTCTTTCTGGCCAGCACAGAGGTGCCCATGGTTTTCTTGGTCATACCGGTATAGACCAGGTAGGTTCAGAATCCAGGCTCCCCATGTCTGAGCAGCAGCATAGCTGCCTTGTGAGTGGAAGATAGTAATAGGAGCTGAAGCCAGGGCCCTGGGTTCTCTGCTTCCTCCCAGCCTCACTCCTGAGGGAGGGTCTAGGAACTCTGGATTAAGGAAGGAGCCCCAGCAGGGCCCAGGGCCTGGTGTCCACAGGCCATGAGCAGTATAATGCTGTGAACCTCAAGTGCAGGGCAAGTCAGTGGTGGGTCCTCTAGGGGAGGGACCCCAGAGCCAGCCTACGGGCCAGTGCTAATCCAGGGCAGTTTCCACGTGTCTGTGGCCGCATGACAAGTGAGGACGATGTACAGTAGGCCAATACATGAGTGCCACTGTCTCATCTTGGAAAGGCCTGTCCCTTAGTCTGCAAGTTCACTCGTCTACGGTTAGTATTAAAACGTCCCATCTTTATGAAATGTTGGGGCCAGTCACTGGTGGTCCTTGGCCAGCTAAGAAGTTGGCAACTCGCTTGGTCTCCCCAATTAAAAATTTATTAACTGGGCCAGGATGTCCAAAGCTCTGGGACCCTCCCTTCAAGCCTTCAGCCTCCTCTCCCCTCCCTGCTCCCTCAGACCCCAGGACCCGTAGAGAGCAGCCCTGCCGTCACATGCCCCTGCTGGAGCCAGCATTGTGTGATGGGCGCTCCCATATGTCACGTGACTTTATCCCCTCTCCTGGAGCAGCCCGAGAGGGAGTCACACGTCCCATCTCATTGTACACATGAGGAAATGAGGGCTCAGAGAGGTTACATGTTTTGCCCCACATCACCCGGCCAGAAACTGGTGGAGCCCTTGTTCAATCCTACAGCTCCTGAGTCTGGGCCAGCTTCGAATACATATTCCTTCAGGTGTCCACAATTGCTCTGTCGCCGTCCTCCGCCACCCATGTAATCTCAGCAAAGGCTGTGCAGACATTGTCCGTTGGGTGTCAATGACCAGTAAAGCTTAAGACATAACTCTCCGAGGGATACTGGTTTCTTAACAGGCAAAGGGGAGCCAAATAACTTGCTAAATGTGGAATTTCAGGCCTTGGATTGTGGACGAGGAAGACGTTCCTTTTTCACGGTGCGGGGGTGGTGGTGGTGGAATGTCTTGATATCGTGAAATCATAGTCACCCCGAGACAGCACCATACTTCCCACTGGGCATGGACCTGTTTGCTGTCTAACCTCTAGGTAACTGCAGCAGGTGTCTTCTGCCCACTCCCAGCTGTCTTCCGTGAGCAGTGAAATGTACACGTGTTCAGACATGCTGGTGCGTGCGCTGGCATCCTGCGCTGACACCTGGGTGCCCACACGTTTGTCCCCTATGCCCGAGCACTGCCCCACCCCTCCCAACCCCGTCACCCAGGCTGTGTGCCTCCCCTGCCACCTCGTGTGGGCCGCTTCACCTGCACACATCCTCCCAGACCCTCTGACCACGCCCCCTGTCTGTTGTACCCTAAGAACACAGACACACACACGCAAACTAGTGACCGCCCCGTTCTTGGCTTTTCAACAGATCCTTGGACCTCTGGACCACGATGACCAGTGTGGGAAGCAGAAACTGGCCTACAAACTAGAACAAGTCATAACCCTCATGAGCTTAGACAGCTGAGAACCGTCCTTCCAGGCACCCCCTGGAGGGAGGGACACACCAAGCCGTGCCTCAGTCTAGATTATCATCTTTACCAAGTGCAAGTTCCGACCGGCGTCAGCAGCATCCCCTGAGCAGCGCTCTCTCCCTCTCTCTCTCTCGGCCTGTTTCTGTCTCTCTCTCCTTCCTGGATCCCCTCTCTTTCAGTTGCTCTACCAACATGATTGAGCCAAGCCACCGACCCTCAGTTAGTCCAGGATGCCCCCCGCCCCGCCCCGTGAGGGACCTGGTGACCAGAAGACATCAGAGGGGGCCCTCTTTCCCCGCTGACCCCATGCATCAGTGGCAGGGCCCAAATACGGATGAGGATGAAGGATGTTTCTGTACTGCTACTTCACCTTCCACGTTTTGATAGCCCCGCATTGAGCCGAACGTTGGCCTGCGGACGAGGCAGTGAGCTCTGTATTACCTTCACTGGGAAGACGTCTCCTGGCCCAGGTTTCCATCTCCAGGGGGTCTGTCAGTGGCGTGGTCCCTCTGCAACTGTGAGAAGGCTGCACCTCCTGCGTGTGGCTGGAGTGGGGAGCGTGAAGCGTCGTGGGGTGCCTCGCAGGCTGTCTCCCACTTGTTGGGTTGGCATCCAGAGGCCTTTTTGTTCCCTTCCAATCTTCTTGGAGCCTTTCCAAGTGCCCGTAGGGCCCTGCCTGCCCAGTCTCCTCCCGGCCTGTGGAAAACCAGACAGGAGAAAGAAGAGCAGTTACAGCCCACTGTGGAGATCCTCCCAACCTCCCAATCTGGCTCACAGCGGCAGAAATGTAACACGTAGAGGGAGAAAAGAAGAGAGCTGCATCTACCCTGGAAGCAGAATTGGTTGTTTTCCATTTGCCTCCACATGCTAACGAATCACGACCATAGTCGTGGGTCTGATCCCTTGCAGATCCCCGAGTGCCGTCTAGAGGACACACCTCCATCCTCCTTGGTCATCGCTCATCAGGGGTCAAGGTAAAATGCCGAGTGCATCTGGGAGATTCTACCTCCAGCTCTCTCGGTGGCTCCCATCCCCGCCATCCTTCCTGAGAACTCTGTGGAAAGTTGGGGCAGACAGCCTCGCCCCTGGCTCCCTGCAGAACCTGACAGCCTCGCCCCTGGCTCCCTGCAGAACCTGACAGCCTCGCCCCTGGCTCCCTGCAGAACCCGGTGCCGGTGCAGATGCAGGTGACTTTGTCTCTGGACTGTTCAGACCTCCTTGGGAATTATTTCATCAACATCTCAGCTGTCTCTTTAGTCACTCTCCTCCCTCAGCTCTTTGGCAGTCATCATGGAAAGAAACACACTCAAGCACAGCCTTGCAGAGACAAACCAAAATGCCAGCCCAACTCAGTCCCGGGTTTGTCGTGTTTGGGAAGGAGCGAAGAATCAAGAGGAAGGACCTGGCTGGAAAAGGGAGGAGGGCCGTACAACTGACCTTGGCTCTGGCGTCTGTTCCTCCATCTGTCCTTCCATCCACGGATACATCATTTTAGCCAGCCAGATGAATGTGTGCTCAGACATGTGTCCTAGGTGAGCAGGGGCTATAGTGAGAGACGGTCTGACGGAGGATCATGGAAACCTATAACCTTGAAGGGACCTTAGACGCCATCTCCATCTGTGGTCCAGTCTCCGCCATAGACTCGCCCGGCAGCCCCGGTGTGGAGCTGTACACCACTCTGGGAGGCAAGCAGCGGCATCATCTCAGGTGGGGCTGGGGACAAGGTTCCACAGTCCCGCCTTCACTCCCCGAGCATCAGACATCCTCCCCTGCCATCCACTCCACAGGGGCCCCACGTGGAAAGAGGAAGGAACCACACCATTTCCAGCAACATCTGTGGAGCACCCTGTGCTTAAAGAATGCTAGCCCCTTTGGATATGAGTACGTGTGTGTGTGTGATCTCATGTGCACATGCACGTGTGTGTGTGTGTGTCTGCCCCAGGAGTAGGCAGAGAGCTCAGAAAGCTTTCTTGTCCTATCAGGGGGATTTGAAGCATCTCCCTTCTCTGCCCTTGCTCACCATTCATTCTGCAACTTCGGGACATTTCAACACTTGTTTTCTGTGCTGAGTGCAGAGGGGTGAGGTCACCTCTCCGTAGGAAATCAGGGTGGTCAGTGGCCAAGGGGATCCTGGACAGGACTGGAGGCCGGGCCATGGTGACGCAGAGCAGGGCATGATGTGGCGTCGAGCAGGACAAATGATGGGCAAAATACAAGTAACCTAACCGACGGGAAGAGGAGAATGAGAAAATATGCATGTCAAGGGGGAAAAGCATAACCAAAGGTTTTGGCAAATGAAGTGCCAGGTGAAGAAGCATGGAATTTCTACCCTTGATCATTTGATTTCCTCCCCAGAAGCCACAAGCCCTGGCAGGCCAGGAAGGAAGCAAGCCAGAGGAGGGCTGAGGAGGCACCTGGGCCGCTAAAATATTTTTGCACATGTGAAGGGGTTGGGGAGAAGACAGACACAAACATATTTAACACAGATGTGCTGAATGGAAGCTGAGTGTAAGTATGTGTGTATGAGTGTGTTTTGAATTATTTTTTAAGTTTTGCACAGTTAGAGAAAAAAAATGAACAAGTAGAAAAAAGACTGTTATCATGGTTCTGCTGAAGCTTTTCTTTTTTTACCGGATTATTATTATTGTTTCGTTGTCGGTACAAATTTTTTTCCCCACGTTTTTGTTGTAAGAGGAACTTCAGTCACCTCGGGAGAAACGTCAGGAAGAAAGAGGGGAGGCGGGAGGACAAGTTTCCAAGCCCTCCGCGTCTCTCCTGGGGGAGGGGTTTGGGGCGGGTTCTAGTTTAATTGGGGGGGGGGGGGGGGGGGTGGGTTGTTTCTGGCGCTTTGTTTGCCCAAAGTCTCTGTGGCCTGCTGGGGGGATGGAGAAATAGGATCGAATTTCGCAGCGTCACAACCCATCTTCCCCATAAGAGCTCTTTTTCCTTTTACTGTTTGTTTTCCATTTCTTTCGTTTGGATTCTTGGTGCACGTGTGATACGTTTCAAAGTAAAGACAAGGCAGCGTTGTCAAAAAGCCTCTCTTCCCCCCAGATCTTCTTTCCACACCTCCCCTTGGAATGCCCAACCTCCTCCTGGCAGGCCAGAGACCCCATGCTGGCCAGTATGTGCCAGAGAAGGGCCTTGGGCAGACTGGGTCCTCTGGAAGGGAAGTCTCTTCAAGGCCCCACCCCGTGTCACAGTTAATGTTCAGGGTCACAGTTCTGTTTAAGGTGGGACCTTTATCTGACTCCTTGAGTTGTGGGCAGAGAGCAGGGGAGAAAAGGCCATGTCTCCTCACCTCCCTTTCATCCCATCTCTTTCACTCTTTCAACCCCTTGAAACCACCAGGGTCCAAAATGGTACCAGGAGATCACACAGTCGAAATAACTGACCTAGGTGAGGTAAGGAGTCTGAATGTTGAAGTGAGATGGCATGGCGCGGGGAGTGGCGAGGGGGAGGGAGAACTTTACGACGTCCTGAATCTAAAAGAATGGGAGAGAGAGGCTGGGAAAGTTAACTGCAGGCTGGTCATTTCTCCCGGGAGCACAAGTCTCCCCCAGGTCTGGGCTTTGCCATTCTCTGTCCTTCCTTGGAAGGAGAAACCCTGGCATTTCTTGGCTAACTGCAAATGGTACCTTTAAGTGAAGTCGGCTGTTGTGTCGGTTACTTCCTCAGGAAAACATGTTTTTCTTGCCCCCTGCTTTCAGGGTGGTTTGGAAGTCAGGGACCCAGGATAACCTGAGCGTCCCATAGGCCAACCGTGATGTGCACACCCAGAGCCCTAGAGCCTCCCTCTTGTGAGCCCGTGGGCCAGTGAGTGAGGCCAGAGATGCTAGAAAGACAGAAATCAGTTTAAACAAATCCCGAAATTTGAGGCAGACTGCCCTGGACTGTGCCCAAGCAGCGGCGGGAGCGAGGTCTCTGACCTTGGCCCTGCAGGCCCAGCTGTCACCTCCCAGGCCCGGAGCAGTGTCGACGTACTATCCCAGCACCACACCCCCTCCCCTCACTCCAGGTCCTCGCGCTCTTGTCCCCTTTGCATGCCTAGCTCCTGAGTGCCCCCTCCCCCCTTGCCTACCTCCCGCACGCACGCGTAGCCTCTGCCCCAAGACCCCATAGCCACTAAGTTCAGGAGCTGCTCAGCCCCCGGTGGACAGCTCCGCCCTCAGTCCAGCCCCCTGGGACCGCCCTAGCCCCATCCAGCCCTCCAAAGCTGCCTCGCCCCGCGAGCGCTCTCGGGGCTCCCTGGCCCAGCCAGGGCCGGTGGGCCCCCATCAGAGGAGCCACAGCAGTGATTTCCCAAATGGCCTCCATTCCACAAGGCAAGTCCTGCTGATGTTTCCAGAGCCCTAAACAACCCCTCTCTCTCACCTAAAAGGGAAAGCTCCTTATCCCATCCGTCTCAGCTCTTAGGACAAAGGGGCACTTCCTTTGGCCTCACAGGATGCAAAGTCAAATAACGAACGCAGTGAAGGCTACGGTTAATTACTGTTAATCAAAAACAGAGAGCCGTGGAGGGAGAGGAGCTTTGGCCTTGGACCACGGCCCTTCCAGGAACTGGCCCCGCCAATGAGAACCGCAGCGCGGGCGTCTGAGAGGCGATCCCATGAATGAAAAGCGTCCAGGTACCAGAGTCCCCACTGTGCCCCCAGCAGACCCGCCCCGGGCAGATCCCACCTCCTTCCTGGCCCTCTTGCTTCTAGTTCACGTCCTCAAGAACCTTCTCTCAGCCCCTCACTTTTCCTGTCAGCTCTCAGGATAGACCACTAAGCCCCCCTCCCATCCCTCAGCCCTTCCCTTTGTCTTTAAGCTGTAGGTTGGCTGTTTATTTGGGGTCTGTAGTTGTTTATTTTTTGTTTGTGTATTTTAAGGGTTTGAGATTAAGGAGGGTGCTCAGGCGTGGATGTAAAGTCCAAATACTGGGGTGGGACGGGGGGAACACAAAACTCTTTATCTGTGACTTCCAAGGGGATGAGGAGAAACTGGAGACCGGAGAACAGGGGGGCTCCCCCTGTTGTTAAAGAAATGGGTCAGGACATCCCCAGGCGTGGCCATGCCAGGGGGAGCAGCCTCCGCGGCTGCCAACATTCTTGGTGCTTCCCTTGGCTGGCTGGAGCCCCGCCGTGCTACCCCTGCCCCTCCTGCCTCTGCACCCCACAGGCATAGCAAACGAGTCATCTTACAGACTGGGAGGCTGAGGGACAGCCACAGGGGACGCCGGAGAGGCAGCTCCTGGGAGAGGCTGACGCTCCGCTCCGGAGCCTCTGGAAAACTGAATAACCCCGCCTCCCACCCGGAAAGGAATCTCTGCAGTAAAAGTTCATTCAAGAGAGAGCTTTTTTAAACTACAAATCTTTGATCCCCAATAAAATTATTTATTATTAGGGGGAGTATCCAGCTTTTATAAAATGTAAAGGATGCTTTGGTTGTAAAAGTAATACATACTCATTAGAGTCCCAATTAAATTCCTTGAGTAGGCAGGTGACTACTCTAAATCAGAACAAAACAAAATCCCTATGAATAAAAAGAGATTTCTGTTTGTACTAGCAGAGACTGAGCTGGGCCAGGGTGGGGAAGGCCCGGTGACCTTGATCAGGCGAGCCCCACCTTCCCTCCACTCTACCCTCTTTCACTTCTCTCTGGGCCGCCCCTGGTGTTGCTGAATCCTACAGCTTCCCCCAAACAGCAGGGAGACCCTGTTAGGGATTGGTTGTGGCGGGACCCCTCTCCCGAGAAGGCAGATGCTCACAGCAAATAGGTCTGTGCAGCTCATCTTCCACCAGTTTCCTTATCTGGAATTAGAAATTCTTTTGTTGGTATCTTTGATCTTACAACTCAAGCACATTTTGGAAGGGCTCCCTTAACAAGAGTAGAACTCCAAACAGAGGATACGGTTAAAGAGCAATGCAAAGGACACTTAAGAAACTGAGACACCACTTTACCAAACAGGACTATTGGACGCAATACAGGTGGACAACTTAAAAGGTGTATGTGTCCATGTGTGTTCTCCTTCCCCGATGATCTTGTCAGCTTGTTTTGGCCTGTTAAACCTTCCGTTCTTTAAAAAGAAAAGCTAGTTTACCTCAAAGAATCTTGTTTCCATTTGGAAACCATGGCTTTGTGTTTTAGGGTGGATGACTCTCCCCCCCCATCACTCCCTGCGCCTGGGCCTGGCATCCGTGAGGCCAGAGGTCCTGGCTTAGTCATGAGTTGGCTGCACTGACCAAGAACAAGAACCCCAGGCCCTGAGATGGGAGGGAAGAATTGGAGGTAGCCGCCCTCCTCCCCACTTTAGCTTGTAGAGACCAGCCTATCTCCTTCAGCAGGGTCCTGCCAAGTTACCATAGCAACCAACAACTCCAGGGTACCACAAGAGATAATGGCTCAGTGAGCCAAGGGGTGGGGGGAGAGGAGTCTGGCCTGGTCAGATGACCCAGAGTTAAGTCTCAAACACTAGAGAGAGGAAGAGGAACAGGAAAGGATGAATGGGTGGTTTAAGGAAGAGGCAGGGGCCTTTGAGTCTCAGAGACAGGGCGCTGAAGGCGGTAGGGCGGTCATTCCTGCTTGGGTCACCCACTCCCAGCCCTGCCCCACTTCTGTTTCCAGAAAGCTCCCACCTTGAACACCGACCCTTTGTTAGAACAAAGCAAAACATATCTTTAGACAACAGTGTTACAATGAGCCTCAAAGATATGTGGATGAAATCTATTAGAGGAAGAGGGTCTTCTGGTTTTGATTTTAAAGAAGAGTATCTGAGTAAGATTAAAAAAAAAAAAGATTTAAAAAAAAGTTTTTTAAAAGGAAACCTATGCTATTTAAATTGGAGCCCAGTTGTAACTTGGTAAAGGCAAGCTTCTGTACCTTTGTTATAATTAATTGTATACCTGTGTATGTAAATATAAGGCATTCCTATTTTGCAGTTCAGAACAACAAAAAAAAAACCTATTTGTAATATAGAATAAAGTTTATTAAAAAATAATAAAAATGCAGTTTGGGATTTGGGGTCTTTCTTTATGTGTCCGGCTAGGAGGGGGAGGGGGAGAGGCTGGGCCATAAGTAGGCGATGGTGGCCTCTATGATGTAGAGAAACAGTACTTTCTCTCTCCAGCTACATGATATGTGTACTCAGCCATATCAGATACATCCTTTTACTTAAGGCTCTGTCCTCAGCTATAAAGCAGGCATCGCAGGAGGCGATAACCCTGCAAAGCTGGGGAAAGCAAACTTACTCCCAGTCAATGCTGTTAGCGGACATCACTTTGGCACAGAGTCGGATCTGCCTCTGAATCTCTCTCAACACAATCCTCCAGTCACACACTCTGGAGATAACGCTAGGATTACCATCCCTGCTTCAAGTCTTCTTGGCAAGCTATACCTAAGTGTAAATGCTTTTATGGGTCCTCTTCCCCCAATTTTGACAGAGGGTGGAGACCCTGAACCCAGTGCTGTCTCTGGAGTAGAAATAGAATAGGGAGAAGAAAATGGAAAGGGTGGCAATAGAGGCAAGGGGAAGGGAAGAAGACAGCTCATCTGCTCGCGCTCACGTCCATCGTGGCCCGTTCCACGGCTTAGAGGTGGTGTCGGAGGGGAAAGGGAAAGTGACGCAGATGGTGCAGGGTAAGTCCCTGGCTGGGCCCAGGAAAACTGTGTCCTCTGCTCTTCATTCCACTGGCTGCCCTTGAGCAGATACTTTCCTCTCTAAGCCTCAGGTCAGCAGATGGAGAAGGCTGGGCTGGATGTCGCCATGAAATTCCAACTTTCTTATTATTCAAAGTGAAAACCATGA